TCACAGATGTAAGTTTACATCACTGTAACATAATTTCATGCCTCATAAGTCTAGTTGTAATTCATGATGAAGTAAAGGCTGCAAGAGTTTCTTCGCGTTGTCATTTATGTGACAACAAATTTTGACAAACAAAATTTGACATTTCTGGTTGATTTTGTAATGTTTACACCTTATATTTAAACAATAAGACTGCAGTTGACTGAAATGTCAACTTAAGGTTCTTAAATAACTTTTTTTATGTAAATGTGGAAAGATGAGTGGCGTGAAACAGATCATATGAAAACTAGATCAAACTAAAAACAGGGAAAACAGCATCATAAAGTCCATAACCATGACAAATAACTTTTTTTTTTTCAGAATCACGAGATGTTCAGTTTATAGATAGATGCACTGTAAAACCAAACTGTGAAATTAAATTCAGTTGAATGAGTTCATTTCACTCAAATATTAAAAAAGTCATTATTGTTAGCAAATAAGTAATGATTATGTTGTGAGAAATACTGTTTAAGAAATAAGTTACTTGAACTGACATTTTTATTCTTTGCAACAAAACCAGGTTTCTAGTTCCCAGCATTCTTTGCATCTTAAGTGTTTGAGTTGAGTTTTATTCTGTGTGTTTTTCACAAGATTTATACTTACTTACTCCATGGCCATTTATATCGAAGTTGATATTTAGCCGCACCATGTTGGTGTTTCGTAACATCTAGTTTTTAAGAGGTTAGCTCAACGTTCAATCACCAACCTAGAGGACCAGGACATACACACATACACTATGGACAATTTAGCTTACCCAATTCACCTACAGCACATAGGACTCGGGGAGAAACCAGAGCACCTGGAGGGAACCCACGCGAACACGGGGAGAACATGCAAAGTCCACACAGAAATGCCAACTGAAGGCGACAGCACTACCCACTTCACATAAAATATCATATCATATATATATATATATATATATATATATATATATATATATATATATATATATATATATATATATATATATATATATATATATATATGTATATGTATATGTGTATATATACATATATCATAAACAGGGGGGCTAATAATTCTGACTTCAACTGTATATATATATTTTAAAGTTTGATATATATATATATATATATAGTTGAAGTCAGAATTATTTGCCCCCGTTTATTTTTTTTCTCAATTTTTGTTTAACGGAGAGCAGATATCTTCAGCACATTTCTAAGCATAATAGTTTTAATAGCTCATTTCTAATAACTGATTTATTTTATCTATGTCATGATGACAGTAAATAATATTTGACTAGATATTTTTCAAAACACTATAATACAGCTTAAAGTGACATTTAAAGGCTTAACTAGGTTAATTAGGTTACCTAGGCAGGTTAGGGTAATTAGGCAAGTTATTGTATAATGATGGTTTGTTCTGTAGACTATTGAAAAAAATATAGCGTAAAGGGGCTAATCATATTGACCTTAAAATGGGTTTTAAAAAATTAAAAACTGCTTTTCTTCTAGCTGAAATAAAACAAATAAGACTTTCTTCACAAGAAAAAAATATTATCAGACATACTGTGAAAATTTCCTTTCTCTGTTTAACATAATTTGGGAAATATTTAAAGTTAAATAAATTTAAAGGGGGGCTAATAATTCTGAATATATAAAACGTATATACAGTATAAACAATATAAGTATATAAGTGATATAAACCTACAATTCTAAAATAAATTCTCAAAATTAGGATTTTATTTGTTGCAGTTGTGAGTTTCCACATAAATTAAAATAGGTATTTACAGTAAATATGTTTTTGAACCATGCTATTTTTGCTTTAATGTCGTCCACAGTTTCCTTACCACCTGACCAGGTGTCCCAGGGAGTGAGGAAGTCCAAATCCTCTGTAGGAGTGGGTTTGGCTGTACTTCCACCTCCTTTTGCATCTAAACTGCACCGAGTCGGAGTTCCTCAAAGCCCGTCGCTCGGCTCCTTCCCGACTCCACTCACAGGAGAACCTTTACGAAACATTCAAGTTCTTCCTGCCATTCCTCCTCAGAGAAAACGCAGCCCTTCTCCCCTCACAACCCTGAGCCACTCCAAAATCACAGACTGATGGAGATTCCTGTTTCAACACTGTTCAGACTTTTCATTTCGATTCGTTTAAACGATGACGCATCACTGTTTGATAAACCTGCAGAGTCTCAAACACAGGCTATTTTTTCATACAATTTTACAGATTTGATCTTTTTCTATGGTTATGCACATGGTCGAACTGTAACATTTGAACATGCGGATTGTTTACTGTTACTGTTAATAAAGGATATTGTTTAAAAATCAAGCAGTAATAACTTATTATTGTCTTTGAAATATGATCGCGGGGTATTCATTTTAGACATTTTAGGTTTAATAAATGGTTTATTATGTAAGAGGGAATTTACAGTACAGCACTATTTTATTCACAATAGCCAGAGGTTATACCAACCCAGGCTCATTCTGAAAACGTACTGCTATGTACATTTCTGGAGAGCGCCAAATTCGTCACAGGAGCTACGTTTTTTTTTGCAGTTTTTGTTTTCGCAAATCCAATCACTGTATGCTTTTTCCAACACAGGTTCATTCTGAAAACGTAGTCCAGCGGACGTTTCTGGAGGCCGCAAATTATGTAGCCGGAGGTACGTATGGCTGCATTTAATTTTTTTAAGCGAACGCTACATGGCAGTATGACACCATTCCTTTTGGTGCTTACCAGCTGACCGCTTACCACTGTGTGGAGGGCTTTCCTGTCGCAATCAGTTTGTCCAGTTAGCTCGTCGTGTACGTCGGTGGACTTGAGACGCAGAGCAGTTCGAGTCTGAGGAAGAGCGGTTCCAGAAATCAGGTAAGACAAAAACAGAATCCAACAAATAAAATAAACAAGTGAACAACAGGGTGGGAATGTGGTAAAATTCGAAAACGTAATAAAAATCAGACGAGGGCTTTTCCTTTTCTGGACGGCTTTTGTAAACCGTCAATTGGGTTTAAGGAAGTAAGTGGGTGGGTGGGTCAATCAGTAAAATTGGCTGGGTTTAGGGAAGGAGGAGAGTAGGTCTGCCGATTGGCCAGTCGCCCAGTCAATCATTCAGTCATTCAGTTGGTCGACAGCGGCCTCTGGTGGGTTTACGCGAGAACAGCGTAGGCGCGAGAGGCATTTGAGATGCGAAAAAGCACACACAGCGGCCTTTCGCGGATTTGTGAAAGCAAAAACATGCAAAAATACGTACCTCCCGGGATGTACTTCACGGTCTCCAGAAACGTCCACGGGACTACGTTTTCAGAATGAGCCTGGGTTCGCGTTTCAGGTCTCAAATTTCTCTCACGCCTGCTCTTCTCTCGTAAATCCACCAAAAGCCTCTGTCGGCTGACTTACTTAGGCCCAATCCCAATTTTACCCCTTAGCCCTTCCCTTTACCTAAATCTCAAATCTCTTTGAAGGTGTAGGGCTAAGGGAAGGGGTAGATAGGCCTTTGAACAAAGATTTTTCAGGACCACACTCGAAACCAAGGGGTAAGAACATTTCCCAGAATACACCAGCCAGAACGGCAGGATAGCTGCACCCGGAAGTCAGGAGATTCACAAATTAGTATATTTTGTCATTTTTTACAACGAACAAGCACATGTTTTAATTTATTCATAACCACGTTCATGTTTGACCGTCATACTTAATAAAAAATGCTAAAATAAAAACCGCAAAATTTCGCTATCTATAATCCATAATCATAATTCCTGTATGGCAGGCCCACAACATTCTGACACTTGATGACACTCGAATACCCTGTCAGATCGGCGTGACATTGAAACATTGCAGTGTTCCTGTACCTGTGGTTTACTCAGTAAACAGCGGTGAGTTTGGTGAACGGATGACCTTCACGGCCAATCACTGTCATTTCTGTTGAGCATGTGAACCCAAAGGCAAAACAACGGTGTTCAAGAACGTGCACAATAGTGCTCAAATGTTATCTGGAAATTGACGTTTTAAAAAATTCAGTATCGATTGTACCGAATTCCGATATCGTGACAATCCTGGTTCATTATGATGCGATTTACCTTCAATGTGTGATTTGATTGGACAGGAATCACAGGACTGATTTTTCTAATCCCCATAGACAAGAAATAATAAAAGTAGTGTCTGCAGGTTGAAGTATCGGAGTAAAAGTGCAGATACTGCACTAAAAATGTACTCAAGGGAAAGTAAAAATACACAATTTTAAAACTACTTAGTAAATTACAATTCCTGAGAAAAACTACTCAATTACAGTAGTTTGAGTATTTGTAATTTGTTAATTTACACCGCTGGTCTTGATTCAGTAATTTCACTTATATGGCTAATAAATAACAGATTATTTAATCGCTTTTAACATGAAATAACTAAACATAAACACAAGAGGCCAAGAAAAAGCTTCATTGTAGAAGAAAATTTCAGATGGCCCTCAGAGGTTTTTGCATCTTCAAATATTGTCATGAATAAAAACCTCTTCTCATAAATACCTCACAGTCCTCCATGAGTAAGGTGCTGAGGGCAATTTGGAAGTGTTACATTACTTTCACTTCGTCAAAATATCCTAAAGTAAACAGATTTTGGCAACAAACGTACCGTAATTCCAGTAAATTCCCTGTATCTTACAATTCTATAACAACAACGATAACATCAATAAATGTGTAAAGCTGAATTTATAGCAAGTGGTTACAAGAAGAACACTTCTCAAAATAGCATTCATTTGTCATTTTCATTTTGTTCTTTATGTAAATACACTCAAGCAGTTGGAGCTCACATTGGCTGAGAGCAGATCGCTTTACAGTGTTTTCGGGCAGTGGGCGTGGACTGACTGGAAATGGAACAGATCATGATTCACACGAAGACTGACAGTTCTGTCGACCAATCACACGAAGAGTTTCGTTACAGGGGGCGTGTTTCTTTTGCGCACGATAGGAGTGCGTAGATATATAGAAGACATGCACGACTACAGCTATCGCGAGCGCGCCTGTAGATCATTCCAGATGAATATATGCATCTGCTTAGAGGTGACCGGAAACAACTGACACAGGGCGAACAGACATAACTTCATCATTCGCGATGTCTTCAAATTTACAGTAATAATATGATTACACAAAGGTAAGAGCGTTAATTCTCGTATATATATTCCTGTTATGTCGTTTTGTATGTTACGTTTGCAGTATAAACGCTCGTTTTGTTGATTATAAGAATTACGTTGCCGTGATATGACGTCAATAAACTTGATAACGCTAGTCTGGTTAGTAAAATACGCTGTAATTTACTTTAACTTACTTATTTAACGCTCACGCAGTTATGCTAATTATTTTCTGCCGCTTGTAAATTACACACTCTTCAGTAAATGTAATGTAACACTAATACCGTTGTAATTAAAGCTATACACACTGTGTTGTTATGCTGCTATACTGTATAGGTTTAAAGAGGACAAACGATGTATGATAAAAGCGTCTGAACCTATGATCCGAACTAACGGTACTTGTAGTAAAGTAAAAGTAGAAGAGAAGAAATTACTGTTTAACTGTGGTATATATACACATAACATATTCACTGGCCACTTTATTAGGTACACCTTGCGACCATTGAGGTTGTTTTTTTATTCATACATTTCTTAGGACTTTCTTCTTAATAATATAATTCCAGAAAAGCATTCTTTGCTAATTCTAAATAGTGAAATATACAGTAGGCCTATAACAATAATCACACTTTTCAGTCACCTCCAAATTATATTTATACGTCATCACATATCAGATTTGTTTCAGTACTCTATAGTATAGCAGAGCAATTCCATGCAAATGTCAGCCTTTTAAAGAGTTTATTACTATTTGCATTATTATCCAGTATATAGTCATGTAATGAGTGGCATAGAATGATCTCAAAATGACAGTAATATTGCTTATCGCAACAATTTCTGACAATATATCGCACAACAAAATTCCTTATCGTGACAGGCTTAGTTAACTCATATTAGCAGCCAATGACTATCAAAATACAACATTGTTCACAGTCAATTAAATTACGCAAATATTGCTTTTAAGCCGTACTTGCATGTGATTTCAGACCGAATACTCAAAGTAGAGTTTCACGTCACTGTTCAAAAATGAACGAATGTGCGAATATAAAACCAACTTTACATCAATCTTGCTACCTAAAGAGGGAGTTAATCCAAAAATAACAATTTACTTACTATTTACTCACCCTCAACACAAAATATGTTTGAAAGCTGAAAACCTGTAACCAATGACTTTTAAAGTCAATGATTACAAATTTCTGACTCTTTTCAAAATAACTTGTTTAGTGTTCACCACAAAAAAGTAACTGATTTAAAGAAAACAGGTTTGAGAGGATTGAAAAGTGAGTAAATAATTATTATTACAGATTATTAAGTTTTGGGTGAACTATGCTTTTAAGTATAATGTTACTCACAAGGAAATTCTTCAAAATGCCTGAATTTCAATCTAGTGTTTTCAAAGATTGAAAAGTGCTTAGATTTTTCATAAAGCTCTCGAAAATGCTTGAAAAATTTATCTAAATAGGTAATAAGAATAAACCATCTAAATAGCACAACCTTTAATAAAAAAAATATTTTTTTTCTTTTCTTTTTCTTTCTTTATACTTTTTAAAATATTATGTATTTTTCATTAATCTGTGCAATTTGATTAAGCTGTGGAAAAACACAAAATGCATTACGGCTTAATGAGCGATCAATGCATAAAACTAAAATAAATGTAAGTTTAATTAAATTATAGTGAAAGAAGAGACATTGGAGATGTGGGTAAATGACATTTAAAATAATTCATGACAGTAATTGAATATTGGGCTTTGGGCAATCATGCTATCCAAGTTTTCCTTATACTATACTATACTATACTATACTATACTATACTATACTATACTATACTATACTATACTATACTATACTATACTATAGAGTACTAAAACAAATAACATCTGATATGTGATGTGATGTGATGAAGTATACAGTTGAAGTCAGAATTATTAGCTACTCTGAATTATTAACAAAGAGAATATTTTTTCAACACATTTCTAAACATAATAGTTTGTTCTGTAGACTAACGATAGGATATATATCTTAAAGGGGCTAATAATTTTGTCCTTAATGTTTATTAAAAAATTAAAAACGGCTTTTATTCTAGCCGAAATCAAACAAATAAGACTTTGTCTAGAAGAACAAATATTATTAGGCATACTGTGAAAATTTCTTTGCTCTGTTAAACATCATTTAGGAAATATTAAAAAAAACAAAAAACTTCAACTGTATATGTGTATAAATCTATAATTGGAATGTGATTGAAAAGTGCTTAAATTTTTAAATTTGAAAAATATATAAGAACCCTGTAGTCCTCATTTCCATGTTCAAGCAGTTTTGACTCTTCTGTTGTCTAGTTTTGGTGAGCATGTGTGAATTGTCACCTTGTTTTGCTGTGGTTTTCTGACAGCAGTGGCACAGTGTTTTTTTTTCCGATGCTGTAGCTCGTCTGCTTCAAGGTTTGCTGTGTTTAGGCATAGGATGCTAAGGTTCTGACGATATGATAACCTTGGATAAAAATATTGCCGTTTCACGGTATTGTGATTACTGCTCTAAAATATATTCTTTTTAAATGCCTTGGTTAAAAACAAAAACTTTTCCCCCCTTGAACACAATTTTTTTTATTTTGAGAAACATTTAAAATATTTTGGAAAAGTAAGCATTTTAGGCTAAATAGATTTGACCTTCGCTGTCTTTATTTGCTTCAAAAACAGATTTTTTTTACAACATAAAATGGCATCTTTTCTGCTGGAGATATTGTTGTCCTAAAAAAAAACGTAAATAAAAAAATTGTACACATCTTAGGAACGGTATTGCAGAAAATTTTGACGGTTTTAAAACCTTGACTTTTCCAAACCGTGGTATACTTTGAAAACGGTTAACGTCCCATGCCAAGTTGTTGTGTTCAGAAATGTCTGTTTTTAGATGTCATTGTATAGTGAGTAGTTATTTGAGTTACTGTTCACCTTTTGTCAGCTTAAATCTGGTCTCCATTGACCTCTGGAAGTAAAGGGATAGTTCTCCCAAAAGTGAATATTTACACACTTTTTACTGGCTCTCATATAGTTCAAAACCTTAATGAGTTTCTTTATTATAAGAAACGAAATAAGATATATTAAAGAAAGCTGAAAATGACCATAGTAGGAAAAACAAATACTATGGAATTGAATGATTTTAGGTTTCCAGCTTTCTTCAAAATGTCTTTGTTAGTGTCAACAGAAGAAAGCGTCTCAAACTAGTTTGCAACAAATAAAGGGAGAGTAAATGATGACAGAATTAATTCATTAATTCATTTTCTTTTCGGCTTAGTCCCTTTATTAATCTTGGGTCACCACAGCGGAATGAACCGCCTCTCTTTGATTGGGCATAAGTAAATCACAGTCACTTTAAAAACTGTTTGAAATTCAGCTGATCATCTTGACCATGTTTATATCTGCCTAAATGCATTGAGCGGTTGTGATTGGCTAAATTATTTTCAATAACGAGCAATTGAACAGGTGTATCTAATGAAGTGGCCTGTCAGTTTATGCTGTAATAGACCATTTTGAGAGACGTAAACAATAACAATGGTGCTAATTAGGGATGCACTGATACCATTTTTTTGGATCTGATCCCGATGCCAAAATTATCGATCGATCGATACAGATCCGATTCCGATACTGTGCCATTATTTAATTATTATTATTATTTATTTATTTATTATTTTTTAAAAGCATAATACAGTTTTTATTGTTCTGGTGCTAAACTCAAAAAATATATCTTTTTAAGTAAAAATATCAGACCTGTAGGCCTACTATACGTGACAGCACAATCTAACTAAAAACATAATGCATGCTGTAAACTAGGGATGCAACAATACAGTTAGGCCACGGTTCAATACATACCTCTTTTTTTTTGACATGGTTTTTGGTTCGGTTTGGTTCTCATGGTTTGACATGTGTTTTTTAAATTTTTGTTATTCAATAGGCAATAGAAACAGCAAGAGGTTAAGAAAAAAAAAAAAAACGACTTATTGCAATACTTATTTTGTTTTACTTAAAAGCCTAGTAAATTACACTAGTTCATAGTAAATTGTGTAAAAAAAAAATTGTGTAAAAAAAACCCACTAAAATTTCACAGCTGCTGGTTGCCCATGTACAAACTGGGGAACACATAAAATCCTACACTTTGAAAAAAAAACATACATGTGAAGTTAATAAAGATAAATTGGCCATTTTAAATAAACATATTTGCACTGTTTGCACTGCATATTTGTATCCGCGGACAATTCCAAAAAGGGGTCTTAAAAAGTCTTAGAATGGTTTTAAAACACTTTTAGAATGCAGATGAATGCATTATTTCACTGATTACTTAGCAACTTTTTTTAAAATGTAGCTTTTTTGTTTTTGGTAGACTGCGTTGGTCATTATGGAAATCAACTGGCGTGTCTCTGGTCTTTAATTTGCATATCGCCTGCAGAATCAGTCACAAAATGTTCCACTTCTATCAGCAATTTTTCTGGCATTGAGGTCTCTAAAATTAGCAGTTGCTTAAGCGACAAGAAACAAAACCAACAAAAAAACGCATTTAGGTATTAATCACTGTTTATTTAAATAACTGCTTTGAATTTTTTTTTAACTATGTTTACTTTAAAAAATTGAGAATATATTGATCTATCACTTAAGGTTAGATAATAGTTGGATAATAATTCATGGTAGAAGTTTTCCTCCCCGAATATTAGAAGTTGGCAATAACCTAGCCATCCTCTTATCCCAATGGGATGAAAATATTGAATATTTAATTCACCCTAAAAGCCAAATGACTCGAGTTGGAATACATTTTTTGGAATACAAACATAGAAATTGTAGGTAAGTCTAAAAAATCTAAAAAAAACTTTTTCATCTAATAAAGTTATTGTGTCTGTTCAGAGTATTTAGATTAAACCATCTAAAGTAACACCTAATTTTGATGGTCCATTTAAGTATTAGTAGACTGCTTAATATCTGTTGATACTGTGCTCCTTCAACAGGCATTTACCTGACAATAAGAAACTTTGCATGTACATGTCAACTTACACCAACGTTAACCCAAACCCCAACCAAACAGTCTACTTATAATCTAATGAGAATTAGTTGGCATGTAGATGCAATATAGCTTAAATTCAACAGACGGACCATCAAAATAAAAAGAAACCCACCTAAATTATATAGACTTTTTTTCTAAACTAAACTGGCCATAGTGTATGAGTGTGTGAATGTAAGACTGTATGGATGTTTCCCAATACTGGGTTGGAGCTGGAAGGACACGCACTGCGTAAAACATATGTTGGAATAGTTCTAGTGTGTGACCCCCTTTAAATGTTTAGGTTTTTCTGTTTCTTTGGCTCAGTAATGATAATAGAAAGGTTGCCAATCAAAAGTTACAGTACAGGAGTTTGTTTTTACAGTTATTTACAACAGATTTGAACCGTAGACTGTAAAAGATATAGATGTAGTATCCATGACGTCACCCATAGGTTTCTGAAGAACCCAAAAGAAGCTACCCGTAGGTGTGGCCAACCGTTGCTATTTTGTTGACGCGTCATTGCAGCGACCGGGGGATACCAAACAAGGGCAAAGAGGCGGAGCATGAGCGGAGCTACAGAGGCATGCTGGCATTTTGCTTGGACTGGCTTTCCTATGGGAGAAACGCTCAATACTTCATTACTTGCCACTCGTTTGTGTTCTGACCACATGCGCTTAGCTTTACACTATATCAATAAAGTGTTTAGACTTTTAAAAACAATGTAATATATTAAGCCACTAACATTAAACATTTTCTTATGACGTTTTACTACAGAAGGAAACGCAAATTACATCCAAATACTTCAGATATAGTTTGTGTTAGTAAATGCAAGGCTATTGATATAATCCACGCATAACACTGTATGACAATAGCCCCTTTCACACATTTAGACCTTTCCGGAAAATTGCCGGCAATTTTTCGGAAAGGTTGTATGTGTGAACAGGTCCTTTTTGAAAATACCGGTAAATTCGTTCTGGCTATTTTCCGGAAAGAGAAGTTGTAACGTTACCGGCAATTTGCTGGAATGCTGCGCTGTGTGAATGCAGAAGGAAGATTGCCGTAATAAGCGCGTGCACGTCTAGAACGTGCTGGCGTGAGACGTCTGCTTTAGCCAATCACAACAGTCAGACGCATTTACGTCCGCGCGGTTTATGGGAATAAAAGCCTTTGAATATTTTTCCAGACACATTTAGCTGCTAGAAGTTAGTCAGATCACGTTTATATGTTCTTCTTAATGGCAACTGTGTAAATAATCATCGATGAGATGCTTATGATAAGCCGTTGTTTGTTTACCTTCAAGCTTTGCCTGTGCCTGCGAAACAGCCTGTGAGCGCCTGCACACGCACATATTATGAACATCTCGACATGCGAAAGTGATCCTGCGAAAGTTGTTCACAATATTGATCATCCACAGAGTTTGTAGTTTAGTCAAATGTTTACAAATACAAGCGCAGCCGTTTAAAGCTCATTCGTGGTGAATGATGTCAGAATTTACCGGTATTTTGGAATGGATGTGTGAATGCTCTTTTCCGGAAAATTTCCGTAACGTCCTCGCCTGTGTGAACAGCGCTTTTTTGAATATACCGGTAAAGTCGTTCCGGAAATTTTCCAGATATTTACCGGTATCACTGTGTGAAAGGGGCTAATGACTCAGATGTTTTATAGCCTACAGATATTCAATCTGTCCGATTCTGGAGTGCATTACATGTCTAAAGAAAAATGTAAATGATAAATGATCTAAAATAAAACCAATACATTTATAGAGATGGTAAACAAGTATATAATTTCACTCACCTGGGAAATGGAAGCCAGGTGAATGGTTTGTGAGCACATTTAAGTGCACACAGCATGCCATATCATCTGATAATTGTAATAAATAATTCCAAAAGGCAACTGACTATGTAAAGCCACATAAAACAAAACAAATATATGATGTATATGCCGAGTTCAGCGGCTAATCAGCCGGAATCAGCTGAGGTGAAGTGATGGTGACCAGCAAGACCTAGCTGTCACTCAAGTAGCCACACCCTTAATTATGCAGATGTTATACATCCTAATATAACGGAAACAGATGAGTAATAAAAAATTCACCCCCTCACAGTTGTCATGAAGGGTAATATTAGCTATATGAACCAAAATTGTTCTTTGTACCAGTCTATAAACACCCTTTTTTTCTGTTGTAAAGTTGGCAATTTTAACAGTGGGGTCAAATCTGTTCTATTATGGAGCCAGGACTAGCGGAATTGTAATGACCTTCAGTTTCAGTTACTTCAGTGTTTGCTTCACGAGAGAGAGCAGGAGGTTGCCGTTTGATTTGAATGCAGCTCATTCTATGAGCTCAACCAATCAGAATAGAGAACCTGAACTAATGATTTTATAACTGATCATTTCCTATTTTTTCTCAGACACCAGGCTTGATGTGACCATGGACACTTCACATCATTGGCTGTTGGTCTTGATGCTCTTGCATTATGCAAAAGGTAAGCCACGTCACCGCTCATTTACTCTGTTAACTCGCATTTAAGAGTTTCTTTATCATTTTTTTATGATATTCACTTCAGTGTTTTGTCCACACAGGTTCCAACAGTAGCTGTGTATTAAAAATTCTTCCAGACTCCAAGACTAAGATTCCTGTTGAGTTGGAAAGAAACTTCACAGCGACATGCCACCTCCAGGGTGGATCTGAATTTACCTCAAATGACATCAAATGGTCTTTTAGCAACAAAGAAACTACAGACATTTTATCAAAGACATTTTATCACAAAATAAATGAAACCTCCGTCAGTGTTACAGTTAACCTCAGCAAAAACATGGGTCATATGTTGATGTGTGAAGCCTCCAGAGAGTCCTTAACATACATGGGAAAATGTGCCTACGGAATCTACCTTGATGCAGGATGTGAGTGCCTTAATCACATTGTGTAGCTTTCTGCTTAAAGACTTTAATTTGCCAAACAATATTTTTATAAAAAAAAGCAAAGCAAAAAAAAAAAAGCAAGACTAAGGGCTCTATTTTAAGAAACTGTGCATAGTTTAAAGCTCATATGAGCAGTTTAACTTATCGTGTGTCCGGATGCCCTTTTGTTTTTTTAAGGATGGGAAAAAAAATGTCTGTGTATCCGGCTCATGTTTTAAAATGGGTATGCTTTGAGCATAATGTGCAGTAAATCAATTACCTTTAAGGGCGTACTCGCACTATGCTATCCAAACCCTTACCAGGCCCGTTTCCCGGATCGTTTGAGAAGTGTGAGTGCGCTGAATTGGGCTCAAGCACGGTTCACTTGGCCGCCCCTGGCCAAAAACTTGGGCTTTGGCGTGGTACGCTTGTAGTGTGAGGGCAAAACGCACCTAAGCCCGAAACTGAAAGCGAGACGTGACTTTTAAGGGACTGTTTGATATGGATTATTTAATCATTCTTACCGTTCAATGAACGCAAACTGTTGTAGTTTATTAAAGACGCAAAGCCCTCACTGCAAGACAGCTGCACCTTCAGCAACCTCCTAATTCCTGCAGCACGAGGGCTTTATGATTATTTATGAGCACCAAAGTGGCGGATCTGTTCAGTGAAGTATTTGACTGTGTGTCACCACATCCCAAACGATTTAATCTATTTAACTAAAAAAAAAAGAGAGCGCTTCTCTTCTGTTGAAGTGAACAGTGCATCATCGATGACGTAATCGTGCCCAGGCCTGAATGTAATGTGAGTGCGGGCCGTCGAGGGAAACGGGAGGGGGGACAAGCATGCTTTGGCCCGGTTCAAGGCAACTGTACATAGTGTGAGTACGGCCTAAGAGTCAGTTGTGTCGCACCATGGTGCATTCGCCATCGCTATTTACATGACAGATTTTTTTAAAGCAGACAAACTGAACATTTTACAAGCAAGAAAATGGTTATAGACCATCTACTGAATGAACCTCTTCCTTCCAACTGTGAATACGGGAAACGGTGGTCGATGCATTTTACTCAAGGCATCAGTTACATATCTATTTTTGTAATTTCATTAGTTATGCGCTAAGAATTGTTTCAAAACTCTTAATCTCCAGCTAGCGAATAAATGAACAATAACAATGACGTATGGTCAAAAAACTATTAAGTTATATTCAAACAAACTTCCATTTGTCCTATTTATTACACGTATACTTGTCACAAAACGTAAAAATTACTCACAAAACATTGTTCTGAGCTCTATTAATTTATTAAGTCTGTAATTAAATGCAAAGCTGACAGAAAGGAAAATGGCCGAATGGAGCATACACTAACCTACATATTAAGGGTGTCAGGATTTCGATTTTTAATCGAAATCGATCGAAATTTATGCTCAATTTCGATTATCGAATCAAAAAATAGAATCGTCGATGTGGCCACGCCCCCATGTCACGTCAGTTTGGCTTGCCAAGCGGGAAAAAAAACAGGCTTGTTGAAGTGCTTGTTAAACTGCAGAAGCAGGAGACCCGTCGACAGAACTTAAACCCTCTCCTCTTTCAATGAAGACGCCGGTGTTTAAGCATTTTGGATTTCCAGTGAGTTATGTTGACAACGTTCGTGTTGTCGACAAAAAAAACCTCAGTTTTGCAAGGTCTGCTATGTACGTATTACGTACGGTTCGTCCGATAGACAACACCGGCATCGCGATCCTCCACCCGCCCCCGTTGCAAATCCGCTCGCGATAAAGTACACACTCAGGCCCTGTTTACACTGTTTTTGTTTTTAAATGGCATTTTAGAACGACAACGATTTGACATACACAGTGGCGTGTAGCATTTCTGAGCAGCTCTCCTTCCTCTCTATCTCTAAAAATGCACATCACGTGACCACACAGACACAGACGCACATACAGCCATGCGCTCGAGACAGCAGGTCCAGGCAGTCAGAGGACTGCTTCAATCTTTCACTCATTTGTACTTAGTCATTTTAGCGCACACCTCAGATACTGTTGGCTGGTTCCTGCTGGTTGTGCGTCTTTTTTTTACCAACGCCATTATAACGACACAGATCACTGCCTATTCACGAGTCCCGCAGAAAAAGTGATTGACAGGTGGTAATTATGTGTGTATCTTGCCTTTATTCATTTACTGTATGATTTGTTTATGGGTAAAACAAAGACCATGCAGGTCAGGTAGTTTAGCCAGTAGGCTACAAATAATTAATTGGTCATTAATTAATTAATTATTCATAATCGAAAATCGAATCGAATCGTGACTTTAGAATCGAAAATGTAATCGAATCGAGGATTTGGAGGATCGTGACACCCTTACTACATATTATTCAGTCACAAGATGGTGCCAAACAGCGGTGTAGACAGACACGCTTGTATATGGATTTGTATTTATTTATCTTGAGGCAAAAAAATAAAATAAAAAAACTTTATCTTTCCTTCTTGCAGCATGTCTCAATTCTTCTTTAGTGGGAAATAATGACTGTATGATAGTGCTAGAAATGTCCTGATTATTTATGCATTGCTAGGGATTTGAACTTTGTTATGCTTATAATAATTTTTCTGTTTATTTCCTCTAGACCCTCCGATGAAACCAAAGAATCTGACATGCATTGCTTTGCAAAGGAAGAAGGATATTTCTCCTGACCTAAATTGTTATTGGGAACCAGGATTGAGAGACCCACTGCTTGCCACCAATTATACTCTTTATGCCCAAGTAGGGTATGTATTAGAGTAGTCTTGTTCTAGATTACAGCATAGTAGATTCAGTATCTTTAATAGCTTCAGAACTAAATGTTTATTGTCTTTTTTTCGTTCTTTAGACAAGATTTATATAACAGCACCTGTAAACAGAGTCTTGCAAGAAGTTGCACCGTCAACCTGAGCACTTATCCTGTTCATATGACTTTGAAAGTCTGGGTTGAAGTGAAAAATTCACTGGGGTCAGAACGGTCAGACGAACACGAGTACGATTCCTTGAGTCTTGGTAAGATTTTTAGTTTGGCATTAGAAAAGGATGCATTTCACTATCTAAATGAAAATATACAAGCATACTTTTTTATCATAACATTTCATAACATTAATTGGTTTTGTACTTGTATTGCAGTGAAACCAAATCCACCAAATGTCGAAGTTAAAGTTGAAGAGGACTTCCCTACATCTTTTGTGGTTAAATGGGAGTATGACATTGAAGACACAACTATGCGATTCTCCAGTGCCATTAGATACTGCCAAGTAGGGTCAAGTGATTGGAAAAAGGTATTAAAAAAGCCACATTCTTTTTCTTAGCAAACAAACCAGTCTAAGCTGTAATGTTTTCTGTCTTGAATGCGTTTATTTAGCCCTCACATTAAACATATAGTGCTATTCTGTTTTAATAATGAATTTGTTTATTTTTTAGGTGCCTGAGAACTACACCAATGTGCACATTACGTCGTATCGACTGCAGTCCCTAGAGCCTTACACTGAGTATGTGGTACAGATGCGATCCATCGGAGAGCACTACACCATCTGGAGTGAATGGAGCTCCAATGTTACAGTTCGCACTCCAGAAGCCAGTATGATCTTTAATGTTTTTGTTTTTAAAGTGAATTTTTCTAAATGATTGTATGAATTTTACATCTAATGAAAGGGTAGAATAATATTTCTGAACACTGAGGATTACTTCAGAACAAGACTGGGAAAACTGCAGATTGCAAAAAAAAATGATTGCGCTACCGCTTTAAAATAGTTAGGTATTATACTTTTACTCTTAGGGTAAACTTTCAGAGTTAGAGTTTCACTTCACTTTTAGACACACACTTACACACTCCCACAAGCACTTTCTTTCAGGGGAATTCCCACTGCCATTTTTGAAGTGCGTTGCACTTTGTGAAGTGGTCAATGCAAGTTTATATGAACAGACCCTTGACCTGTCAATTTTGACTAAGGTAGGGGAGTCTCTTCATTTGCACTTTGGCCAGTTAAGACACACCAGTGCACTACGACTGCAATATCAATACAGATTGCATTTTTTTTCCACCAAAGTTAAGCCAACTGCAAAGGTTCTGACTCTAGCAGTCACTTACAACATAATCAGTGATGCATATCCAAGTCAATGAGATGTTACAGAGCAAAGGGGATTTTAAAAAATGAAGTGGAACCCAGAGTGTGTTTTATCTCGTCTTTTTACAGGGCTGAGTCTTCCTTAGATTGTTAGCGTCAGTTACTCATTGATTTATTCATTAAGCCAACCCGTTTATTATTTTCTCTTTTCACTTTTGATGTTTTGAGAGAATCTGAGCATATACTGAATGTGTATTCATACCAGGAAAGTCTTAGTTCACTTGCTTTCCCGATTTGCTTTGGTGTGGTTCGCTTTTGCCTTTTTTTTTTGCAAGTGAGCCACAAATTGTAAACAAACCCACACTTGTGTGTAGATTCAGCCGTTTATTGGACAGAAACACTTGTGCTGGTGTCTTAAGTTCTTAATTTCAAGGGCCCTATCATACATCCGGCACAATGTGGCGCAAGGCGCGGCGCAATACTTGTTTGCTAGTTTGAGCTTGGCGCAAGAGTTGTTTTAAGGCGTTGCGCTACGCTGTTTAAATAGCAAATGCATTAGCGCTCATTTGTGCGCCCATAGGCGTTCTAGTCTAAAAAGGAAGGCGTTCTGAGGCGCACTGCTGGCGCGTCGCTATTTTGAGAAACTATAATAGATTTTTCATTAGACCAAAACTAACCCGGTCTAAACTCCGGCGCAGAGTTGCGCCTCGCTTACGCACTGCTTAATACGCACAAGAGAGCAATAGGCAAACATCTTTACATATGAAAAAATGTAAATATTAAGGATATATGTAGGATACAATAAGAATAGATATAGGATATAAATATAAAGGATTAAAATATTACAAAACATATTATTTTCTTGCCTGCATAAATATGAAAAATCACTGCTTTTATGTCTTCTTCATCTCGGGAGGCTTTTTCAGTTCATTTCTAACAATTTGCTTTTGTATAATGTTATTATTATTAGCAGTATTATTTAATATATCCATGTTTATATTTGTTTTATTAAAAACAAGCTTAGATTTGCCCACCTGTCAGGTTTTAGACTATATGGGGCACTGCATGTGTTTTAGGATATAACTCAGGTTTTTGAGCACACTTCGTTTATATTGTTCATTTATTCGTTTGCTGGAAATTAAAACTGAATTTAGAAATAGTTTTGAAACGAATATTTGCGCTTAACAATCACAATTAATTATTTATAGACTAATTGATGTCTAGATGCAGTAGATGCTCTGTTTAACAGTTTTTCTGTTAAAAAAAACTGTTAACTGTTAACTGTTTGCTAGTGAAATGCTCAGTTTTTCCACTTAGACTTACTTTACGTCCTGTAAATAGCGAACGCGCTCTTGGCGCGTCGCAGCTGGCTCTTAAAGGGAATGTGAGATGAGACTCTAATTGCTTTATTCTTAAAACACACCTATAACTCATTAAGAAAATAAACTCAACCCTTTTAGACCATGCGCCACGGCGCAAAGCAGATTTTCCTGTCCCAAATATTAGCAAAAATGCGTTCTGACATGGCCTGAAAGCGTTTGCGCCCTGCGTTTTGCGCTCTGCGCATGGACCGTCAAAATAGAGCCCCAAATGTAGATGCGTGTAAATAGAGAGAAATGTATTCAAGAAAGGTATATTATATACATTTCAGTTACAATGGTAGACAAGTTACATCAGACAAAAGCAGATCAGCCAAACACTGCATGTCTTTTTTCTTTTATTCATAAATAAAACTTTTATCACAGCTAGACCTGGGGCATAGACTTTTTTTTTTTTTTTTTTTTTTTTTTGGTGGTGGTGTTGGTTCACATTGGTGGATGACTTGCCACAGGTGCAGAACTCAAACGTGGGGCTTTCGGCAAATGTGTTGGATCAAGGGCAGATCATATTCACATCTTTAATGCACTGAACAACAGTTTCTTTGGTGCACACCAGAGTGCAACTGCTGTATTCACAGAAAAAGGCAGAAAAAACTTGAGTTTAATATTGTAATGTAGTCTGACCAGGTGTGAGTTCCAGGAACATCTGTCCGAGTGGTTTGGACTGTTTGAAAGCTCAATGCTGGTGTTGAGTTGCTCCCTATGAGTGCAGTTAACAAAAGGGACTGCATGGATCTCCTTCCTCCTTCGTTATCATCTTCCAGTCTCTTCTCATAACTCCTTCCAGTTGTCCTTTGTCTTTAATGCTGGTCTTGTCCCTTTTACTAATTTAGCTTTACCTCAGTGGGCTGATGGCCTCACTTTCCTAAGGGCCTCCAATCCCTTTACACCAACCGAGCCTATTGACCATTCAGTTCCACCTGGATTCCTTATACTCTTGGCTCAATTATAGCAATCATCCTTGCATTTCCAATGATCTCCCTCCTTCCTCCAGCTCCACCTAGGTTGGTCACCAGCCACCTGTCTCAGTCGTGGGCTACAGCTGTACCTAATCCACCCACTCCTTCAGCTCCTGCTTTACTCTCGTCTTCAGTCTCCACTCTCAGTGGCTCCACCTCAGTTCTCATCTTGGCTTCACATTGGTTTCTCATCTGTTTTGCCCTCCTGGTCCTCCAGTTTCGACTAGTCACACTCCCCTCTATTGGACTCCACTTGGTTCTGCACAAGTCCAAGATTCACCTTAAGCCTGATTTATACTTCTGCGTCAAGTGACCGGCGTAACCCACGGCGCAGGCAACGCGTGGCTGTGCATTTATACTTCTGTGCGCTGTCTCTGTCGGTCTGCATTAACACTTCCGAAACGCTAGTGGGCAGTGAGGTGTAAATGTTCCTCTATGTCGAGTTTCCTCTCTGCGTTTTTGCTTTTCCTGAACACTTCCGGGATGTACAAGTGGCTTAAACTCGCTCATTTTGAGGCAGGAACCGGCGGACGTGTAACAACTTTAACTATGAGGTAAACACAAAACAAAACTTTCCATCCGGAGCTCCTTCACGGGACTCCACACTTGTAAACAATCGCTCGCGCCATTTGCGCGGCTCTCGGTCCCGCCCAGACTCGTCAGCGCTACCAAGCCGACCAATCACAGAGCTTACGCTACGCGTCGTTGCGACGTGTAGTTACATTTTTTGAGAGGTGCACGTCAGTGACGGCGATGGCCACGGCGAAGGGCTATGCGTCATCGCCGTAGCATACGCCGACGTTTGACACAGAAGTATAAATCAGCCTTAAGGTGCCCAGTGTACAAGCATTTTTGCTTTAGTCCTCAAGCCTCAAGCTAATTGACACACCCTATCTTCAGTTTGGTAGTGTTTTATTTTGGGCACCTGCAGAGGAAGGATTGTAGATGTCAGGGTTCTTTATCGGATTTTTGACACAAGGTACAACAAAAATAACAAAAATAGTGTAAATTTGATATGATATGGTAACTTCAGGGCGTCCCTATGGCACAATGGGTAGCACGATCGCCTCACAGCAAGAAGATCACTGGTTAGAGCCTCGCCTGGGTTAGATGGCATTTCTGTGTGGAGTTTGCATGTTCTCTCTGTGTTGGCGTGGGTTACCTCCGATGCTTCGATTTCCCCCACAAGTCCAAAGACATAAGGGAAAGGGGAATTGGGTAAAATCAAATTTTCCGAAGTGTATGTGTGTGAATGAGAGTGTATGGATGTTTTCCAGTGATGGGTTGCAGCTGGAAGGGCATCCGCTGCGTAAAACATATGCTGGATAACTCAAGCTGGCGGTTCATTCCGCTGTGGCAACCCCAGATTAATAAAGGGACCAAGCCAAAAAGAAAATGAATGATTGAATGGTAGCTTCATTGTTTGCAAACTGAACCATACTCTGGCTCCAGTATCATAAACTGAATCAAACTGTGGCATTGGTGTATTATTACACCCCTATTAAGTTGAATCCAAATATACAGGTTTTCAGACTTTTTAGTTTAATATAAAGAGTGAGTTTGATTCTACTTCAACTTGTTTGACTAAATTTTGTGCAAAGACATGACTTTCACTAACCGTTTTCTTGTTGTCTGTCTACTGAAATACACAATATAAGATAGTGTCATAACTGCTTAATAACCTCTCAGCATTCATTCATTCATTTTCTTGTCGGCTTAGTCCCTTTTTTAATCCGGGGTCGCCACAGCGGAATGAACCACCAACTTATCCAGCAAGTTTTTACGCAGCGGATGCCCACACACACACTCATACACTACGGACAGTTTAGCCTACCCAAATCACCTGTACCGCATGTCTTTGGACTGTGGGGGAAAACGGAGCACCCGGAGGAAACCCACACGAAGGCAGGGAGAACATGCAAACTCCAAACAGAAACGCCAACTGAGCCGAGGTTCGAACCAGCGACCTTCTTGCTGTGAGGCGACAGCACTACCTACTGTGCCACTGCCTCACCCTTCTTAGCATTCACAAAAGATAAAGAGACTGCATTATTTATGCTCACCTACATCTTGTGTTTTCAGAGCCAGCAAGTCCACCAGACCTGTGGAGAATCATCCAGCACACGCCTGGGAAAAGAAACGTCACATTAATGTGGAAGGTAATTTTAATTGTTTTTCATTTGGGTGGTCACTTAGGGCACACTCACAGTACAGTTGCCTTGAACCGTGCCAAAGTACGATTTTCCCCCATCCCCTCTTCCCCTCGGCCTGCACTCACCTTGCATTTTTACCTACCAAATCTGAGCGCTTACATCGATGATGCGACTGTTCAGTTTAACAGGAAGAGAAGCGCTCCCCCTCAGCTCAGTGGAGATTGCTTTAGTCATATCGTTTTGTACTATTTTTAGTCGTTTGGGATGCAGTGACATGTGGTCAAACACTTTGCTCAACAGATCCACCAATTTTGACGCTCATAAATTATCATTAAAGTTTGGTGCTGCACGTATTAGAAGGTTTCCTGAAGATGCAGCTGACGTCAGTGAAGGGTTTGCGTCTTTAATAAACTACGACAGTTTGCATTCAGTAAAAGTTAAGAATGATTAATAAATAAATATGAAACAGTCTCCTAAAAGTCACGTTGCGTCTTCAGTTTCGGGCTCAGGCGCGATTTGCACTCAAACTACAAGCGTACAGTGCCAAAGCCCAAGTGAACCGTGCTCTGGCACACCTCTTCCAACCGAGTTAGGGACGGCCAACTAAACCACGACTGAGCCTGATTCACACTTGTCAAACGAATCGTGAAACGCACCTGGGCACGGTTCGGATAGTATGTGTGCGCCCTTAAATATCAGTAATACTATTTGTGCTGGCTAGAAATCTCTCAAGTGTAAAAAAACAAGTGATCAAGTTAAATATGAATTGTTTTTAAATGATTATTATTATTCTTTCCCATTACAGCCTCCTGTGAAAGCTAATGGAAAAATGTGTAACTATTCCCTGATCATCAGTCAAGATAACCAGGCTTTTGAAAGTCACGTTATAAAAGCTGATCAGCTCAACCAGAGGTATTCACTGGAAGTGCCACCAGAAGAAAATGCCAGTATTGAAATAACTGCATTCAATTCAGCCGGAGGGTCTCCCAAAACTATTTTGTTCATTCCAAGATCAAATGACGGTACGTTTACAGGATGTTTAGAATTTCAACGTTTTAAGTTCAGCATTTGTGACCACGAAAACAAGTCACAAGTGTCACTTTTTGTTTCAAATTGAGATTTATATATTACTTGATAGCTGAATTAATAAGCTATTCATTGATACTATATATAGTGGTGTGATCTACAGTATACAGTTGAAGTCAGAATTATTAGCCCCCCTCTTAATTTTTTTCCCAATTTCTGTTTAACAGAGAGAAGATTTTTTTTCAACACATTTCTAAACATAATAGGTTTAATAACTCATTTGTAATTTTTCAATTCTTGATTTATTTTATTTTTGTCTTGAGATATTTTTCAAGACACTTCTATAAAGATTAAAGTGACATTTAAAGGGCTTAACTAGGTTAATTAGGTTAACTAGGCAGGTTAGGGTAAATAGGCAAGCTAGTGTATTACGATGGTTTGTTCTGTAGACTATCGGAAAAAAATATAGCTTAAAGGGGCTAATCATTTTGTCCCTAAAATGGGTTTTAAAAAATGTAAAACCGCTTTTATTCTTGCCGAAAAAAAACAAAAAAGACTTTCTCCAGAAGAAAAAATATTATCAGACATATTGTGGAAATGTCTTTGCTCTGTTCAACATAATTTGGGAAATATAAAAAAAATAATAATTCAATGGGGGCTAATAATTCTGACTTTAACTGTATGTGTGAAATTTGTAATCTGAGGGTTCAAAAAATGAAGTGCTTCAAGTCAAAGATGTTGATATATGTATGATAATGTTTATGTATGATATATTTAACGTTTTAATGGCATAAAAGAAAAATCTATCTGTTTGAACCATAGCTATAGCCAAAAATATACCTGTGCAACATAAGACTGGTTTAGTTATCCAGGGTCACATTTTAAACCCTACTGCTGTCGTTAGGCCAGGTGTGATGAAGAATATTTCATCAGTGGGGCACATTTCTTAAGAAAATTAAATAGTGGCTGAAAATTAAGAGTTGTTAAATGCATATGTTTATACTGGAGCCTTTGTGTGGACAAGCCACAATGAAGAAAACTCTTCTATTACTAACAAAATAATGTCCAATACAAAAATAATAGATGTTATCCTGCAAAAATCAACCCCTAATTTGACTGTTAGCAAGTGGTGCAGTCTTCAGTGTAATTGAAGAGATTATTGTTTCAGTATTTAATGAATTGTAATTAATGACGTGTTGCTGATTTTTATCAGAGTTTCTTGGCGTGGCGAGCATGAGGTGGTGGGTTCATGATGGAAAGCTTCATGTGGAATGGGGTCCTTTGAAGCAGCATCCTCCTCATGGCATTCATATCTCAGAATATCTGCTGGAGTGGGTGAATGAAAAAGATGTTCAGCCTCAGTGGCAGAGGGTTCCTAAAAATGTCAACACCACCATACTGAACGGTACCAACTCGCATTTTCTGATGCTTTACTAGTCGGTTACTAATCTGACCCACAAGAAATATGTGCATTTTTCACACTTTTGGTGATGGTCAAAGCATAGTCGCCTAACAGCAAGAAGGTCAGTGGTTTGAGTCCTGGCTGAACCAGAAGGTCTTTCTGTGTGGAGTTTGCATGTTCTCTTTGTCTGCATGGGTCTTCCCCAGTTTCCTCCACAGTCCAAGAACATGTGGTGTAGGTGAATTGGAAAAACTAAAATATGAGTGAATAATTAGCTTGTGTGTAAACACCATCAGGTCCAGCAGAAACTCGAACCAGCATCCTTCTAGTCATGAGCCGACAGTGCTTACCACAGAGTCACCTTGCCGCCTCATTAAAAACCATATTTATTCATTCATTCATTTTCTTTTCGGCTAAGTCCTTTTATTAATCAGGGGTCGCCACAGTGGAATGAACCGCCAACTTATTCATTAAATGTTTTACGCAATGCACACCCTTCCAGCTGCAACCCATCACTGGGAAATAAACCATATTTAAATGTTTAAATTATCATATTTAAATTCATTCATTTTCAGCTTAGTCCCTTATTTATCAGGGGTCACCACAGTGGAATAAACCACCAACTGTTCTGGCATATGTTTTACACAGCGGATGATCTTCCAGCCAAAACCCAGTACTGGAAAACACCCATACACTCTAGCATTCACACACACTCATACATTATGGCCAATTTAATTTATTCAATTCATCTATACTGCATGTCTTTGCACTGTGGGGGAAACAGGAGCATCTGGAGGATACCCATGTGAACACTGGGAGAACGTGCAAACTGCACATAGAAGTGCCAACTGACCAAGCCGGCACTCGAACCAGCGACCTTCTTGCTGTGAGGCGACAGTGCTAACCACCGAGCCACCGTTTAGCTTAATAACACTAACTTATTTTTGGAGTTTATTTTAAAATGATTTCTGAAAGTTCACGTGTATGCTAAAGCTTCACTGCAATACATTACATTAAAAAGTAGGTGTGTTACATTTTTAATATTTAACAAACATCTTTCCTGCTCTCCCAAGGTAATTTAGCCAAATACAAGCAGTACAACATATCAGTCTATCCAATCTACAAGTTCTATTATGATGGTCGATGGCATTTCCAAGCAGGAACACCAGTAACCAAGCCAGCCTACGTTCAGCAAGGAGGTATGTATGTCATATTCGGATTTCACTCCTTCAACGCTTCAGCTTTCTCACTCACAAAACAACTTTGTGTCGCTTGTTTTTATATAGCACCAGAGAAAGGCCCTACTGTCACAGATACCATTTCCAAGAAAAATAGTGTTACACTGATATGGGAGGAAATTCCACTGGACCACCGGTATGGATTCATCCAAAACTACACCATATTCTACAGGACCGGCAACGCTGAGTGGCAATGTATGCTTGACATATGAGAATTTTGCAATGTTTGAATGATTTCACAAGCAGCTACAAATTATCTAATGTTTCTCACTTGTTTTTTGGCAGCTGTGCTAGTGGCCGCTAACATCCACTCGTATGTATTGACTGATCTGGTCAGTGAACGCGACTATGTGGTTCACATCATGGCCTCGACGGAAGCTGGCTCCAAAAACGGCACCGATTTTAATTTCAAAACAATGAAGTTCGGTATGTATTTGAACTCTATTCAAGTTTATTAATGTTTGATGATGCAATACTTATAGCTCATTTCCACTTAACAGTATGGTTCGGGACAGTACAACACATATTGATTTCTGTTTTGCCCTGTCAGAAGTACACATATAGTCAAATGTAACACTTGTTAGGGCCCTTTCAAAATGGTACCTAGCACAACAGCAGCACTATTAGTTTACAGAGCAACACCACTTGCAGGGGAACAAGGAAGGAACACGGGAAGCTTCATTTTTCAGTAGTGTCTGCCTGCAGGTTTAGGGTTGGGGTCGGGGGTGATGTAAAAAACACACTATAATGGTTAATTTAATAAATAATATAAATATTCTCCTTAACATCCGGCTGGAGCTTATCTCTTTAAGCAATAACCTGCACTCAAGAGAGCAAGTGACATTGCTGTAAGGGGTAGGGTTAGGAGTACACATTAAGGCCCATTCCCAATTCTATCTTTTTACCCCTACCCCTTCCTCTTCCCTTTCAAAATGTACCCCTTAGAAATAGGACAGCACTACAATGCCTGCACATGTCATCGGAATCTCTTGCTTCATATGAGATATGATGATCGCGACTGCTGTAGTTATTCCAGTTAGGGTCATTTTTTGGTATTTATCTTCAGGAAATCACTGAAGACAACGGTATCATGTTATCGTAATGGAATAATGTGGCAATAAGATTGTAACTGTACTGTGCAATTACACCGTGGCCATATTCATCTATTTAATCACACCAAAACAACATTAACATTATAGCAGACACTGTAAAAAGCTCATTCCCAGCCATTAGACTTTTCTGACGAGTATCATTGAGTGACAGAATGTTATGGGACTACTATACAAGAGCTACTATTATGGATTATAGAGAGCGAAATTTAGCGATTTTTGTTTTTGATTTTTTTTATGTATGACAGTAAAACACAAATGCAGTTATGATTATATTACGACATGTGCTTGGTTGTTGTAAAGATTCGTAATAATGACAAAAAAATACTGATTTGTGCATCTCCTTTCATCACATTTCCGTGTGCAGCCATGCTGCCGTTGTAGATGCTGTATTTTGGGAAACTTCTGTACCCCTTGGTTAAGAGTGTGGTCCTGACAAATCTTTGTTTCAAGGGGTATCTAGCCCTTCCTCTTAACGCTATGCCTTTAAGATAAAGAGAATTGGGACACCCCTACGAATGTAAGGGAGGGATGTTTGACGCACAACGTAAGATACATTCATAGCGGATGCTCCAGGAAAATAGACACTTCTCACAGAAATCATTTACCCCACAATTCGCTTATCACAAAAGCCAACAAAAAAAATTAAACTAGTAGGTTTGCTATTACTCTATAATAGTGTACAGTATATTACTCTTACATTGCTGTATGTACAAAAAAAACTAAATTTACATGCATTAACCCCCTGGGGCATATGGGTTAATTTGATGACAGATTAATGGAGTAGGGTCTGTCTGCAGACTGCGAGGCAGGGGCGTAACATGAAGGGTGCTTAACTTGTAATAAAGGCGCAACTTGAAGTTATGGTGACCCACGTGTCAAAACTATGCTGTCACTGTGTGTAAGCACTGTACCCATAACAGTTATTAACGTCTACACCTACCCTAAACTTAACCATTCTAGTTATTAATGTCCACACCTTCCCCAAACCTAAACCCAATCATCACAGTTATTAACATCTACACCTTATCCAACTCTAAACTCAACCATCACAGTTATTAACATCTACACCTTGCCCAACCCTAACCCCAACCCTCACAGTTATTAACGTCTACACCTTCCCCAACCCTAAACTCAACCATCATAGTTATTAACGTCTACACCTTCCCCAACCCTAAACCCAACCATTACAGTTATTAACGTCTACACCTTCCCCAACCCTAAACCCAACCATTACAGTTATTAACGTCCACACCTTCCCCAACCCTAAACCCAACCATTACAGTTATTAACGTCTACACCTTCCCCAACCCTAAACCCAACCATTACAGTTATTAACGTCTACACCTTCCCCAACCCTAAACCCAACCATTACAGTTATTAATGTCTACACCTTCCCCAACCCTAAACCCAACCATTACAGTTATTAACGTCTACACCTTCCCCAACCCTAAACCCAACCATTACAGTTATTAACGTCTACACCTTCCCCAACCCTAAACCCAACCATTACAGTTATTAATGTATACACCTTCCACAACCCTAAACCCAACCATTACAGTTATTAATGTCTACACCTTCCCCAACCCTAAACCCAACCATTACAGTTATAAACGTCTACACCTTCCACAACCCTAAACCCAACCATTACAGTTATTAACGTCTACACCTTCCACAACCCTAAACCCAACCATCACAGTTATTAACGTCTACACCTTACCCAACCCTAAACCCAACCATTACAGTTATTAATGTCTACACCTTCCACAACCCTAAACCCAACCATTACAGTTATTAATGTCTACACCTTCCCCAACCCTAAACCCAACCATTACAGTTATTAACGTCTACACCTTACCCAACCCTAAACCCAACCATTACAGTTATTAACGTCTACACCTTCCACAACCCTAAACCCAACCATTACAGTTATTAACATCCACACCTTCCCCAACCCTAAACCCAGCCATTACAGTTATTAACATCCACACCTTCCCCAACCCTAAACCCAACCATTACAGTTATTAACGTCTACACCTTCCCCAAACCTAAACCCAACCATCACAGCTATTAACGTCTACACCTTCCCCAACTCTAAACCCAACCATCACAGTTATTAATGTCTACACCTTCCCCAACCATTAACCCAACCATCATAGTTATTAACATCTACACCTTCCCCAACCCTAAACCCAACCTAAAGCCATATTCTAAAGGACTAGCAACGCCGATTGGCAATGTGTGCTTGACATATGATGAGTTTGCAACGTTTAAATGATTTCACAAGCGACTACAATCGTGCGCTTTACAGATCTGTTCGCTTTTGAAGGTTTCAAAATACAAGCCACTTTTCAATCAGGGGGAAAATGAAAATAAAACTACTCTAAAACTGTGTTCGTCTGACAGATAAATAAGTCATGGCTTGAGGGTGAGCACATTATAGGGTAATTTTCATTAAATTGTCATTTTGGGTGAACTATTCCTTTAAATCCCATTAGACCTCTGAAACTGAATAGCATAATAGAGGCACTTTTGACTGCAATAGGATGTGACACGTGCTGATGCTTTGATCTGTGTTTGGCCTGTAGCCGATGGAGAGGTGGAGATGATTGTAGTGCTGGTGTGCCTCGGCTTCCTGTTCCTGAGCGTCTTCACCATAATGCTCTGCCTTCGCAAGAGAGAAGTGTGAGTCAGGCCTTTTTATCACTCAGAATGAAACTCAAGAGTTCAGCTTGCTCTTTCAGTTCACTTCTGAGAACTCTTGGTCTGGAAGTGCTTGTAGATGATTGCCTAATAGTGTCTACAGTAATTTCTTTAACAGCCGATCTGCCGATCTGCGTCTTTGTGCACATTGCACACGATTCAGAAGTAGAAATAATCAATGTACATGCAGTAAAAACCTGGTAATGTTTTCCATAGTGTTTTTTTTTTTTTTTTTTTTTAAGTAGTTTAAAATGAAAATAAATGTTTCTGTAGTAGAATTATTTAGCACTGAAGTTCTTTGATGTAAATTTACTCTCATTATTAGATCTTGTTTGTGGAAAATGGATATATTACCTACAGCAGGCATGTCCAAACTCGGTCCTGGAGGGCCAGTGTCCTGCACAGTTTAGATCCAACCCCAATTAGACACACCTGGGCTAACTAATCAAGCTCTTTTAGGCTTTCTAGAAACATCCTTCCAGGTGTGTTGAGGCAAGTTGGAGCTAAAATCTGCCGGACACCGGCCCCTTCAGGACCGAGTTTGGACACCCCTGACCTACAGTAACCCTACTTATAATAGTATTGAATGGTTTTGTGTGATGTGAAATGTTATTACTTTCTCCTCACAGGATTAAGAAGCTGTTATGGCCGCAAGTCCCGGATCCGTCTGACAGCTCTATTGCCCACTGGTCACCTGATTTCCCTGTAAAGGTCAGTTAGATATTAACATTTGTCATGGGTGAAATTTTTGTTTTTTTTTCTCCCTCTTAAATATTTTGTGTAATGCGCTCTTTGGTGATTGTTAAAAGATTTTTCAAATATTAGTGCAAAAAAATTTAAAATAAGAACTGCTACAGTAAGCAAAATTTATATTAATTGAACACCCCGGCAGCTAGTTGATCATTTAAGTGGCAGAAGGTCGATTATTCCAATGAATCATCTGTCGAACGATCTGTCACCAGAAATGAACAATATTGAGCATGTCTGAGGTAAGATGAAGGAGGAGGCATTAAAGAGGAATCCAAAGACTCTTTATGAACTCTAAGAGTCCTGCAAGAACACTTTCTTTGCCATTCCTGATGACTTTAATAAGTTATTGGAGTCAAACACAATATTAATTCTTTTTCCACTGCAGCATAACTTTATATTCTATACTGTACATTATTTCAGTTAAGTGACCTGACTTTTGTCTAAGCAATGTCAGACCTTACTGTCCTAATTAAATAATTAAAAATCAAGCCATGATCATATTTTATTGTGGTAAAATAAGTGTAATCTAGAAGCCTTTGTCTTTCATATAAGCCACTTCTGATACCAAATGATCAACAAGAAGTCAAGTTATTATTTGTTCTTTCTAAATCCTGAATAGGCAAGACATTAGTCAGGTAGTGTATTATAAGTATAAAATAAAAAAGCACTAAATACAAATTTACAATTAAATCTAAGGCACCCAATTACTCACAACTGTTAAGCACTAAATAAGTTATTGGACTTACAACAGTACAGGATTTTTGGTGTCACATTGCCTTCACCTATTGCAGCAAATTTAATGTTATTTGGTTTCAGTTTATCAGTAAGTGACAATTTTGCTCTCTTTAGTTGATCGGGTGGGAAACAGTGTTTAGTTAATTAAGTCTAAGTTGCATATTTGGAAACATAGCTACTGACTGCAATTTGACTTGGGGTGCTTTCACATTAGTACAGTAGATTGATTGTTTTGTTCTGAAACAGGTTACAGTGTTTATTTTTTTCCTTCGCTTTCAAGCAGCAAAGTTTCTACACGGACCAAAACACACAGTGGTCAGTTTCAGGGTTTATCCGAGTCCCATGAATTCCGCACAGCTGTCATACGTCATTATTTTAATATCAGTAAACATCAGATCTTAATTTTGGTCAATTTACCTAATAGTTAAACAGCTCTCGTTAATATTTTAGCATGCTTTCACTTTCATATTCGTCATGAAACACACATTTATCAGTAGTAATGACATCTCGCCCTACTCATCATTTTCTCTTCTCTGTGTGCTTTTACAATGTAGAGTGTGTCAAAGCAGCTTAACATAGAAGTTCTAGTGAATTGAAACTGTGTCAGTCCAGTTTTCAGAGATGAAGTTCAGTTCAGTTCAGTTCAGTTCAGTGTGATTTAAATTTTACTGCTGTAAGTCCAAACACTAAAGAGCTAATCCATCGATGCGCAGCAACAAAAGTCCCAAACCAAGTAAGCCAGTGGCGACAGTGGCAAGAAACAAATCTTTACTTAATTGACGAAAGTGAAGTGGAAAAAACCTTAAAAGAAACCAGGCTCAGTTGGGCATGATCCTTTCTCCTCTGGCCATATAGCCATATTTGCCTATCACATATCCGTAATGCACTGTGATACAGCTGGGTTTGTTAGTTTGTTGGATCGTACTGCTTTTTCACTACAATCGATCTGCTTAAGAGTTCGTTTCGAACGAGCCAAGGCCGCCTTATTCAGGCGATCTTGGACTGATTATTTTGCTACGGATCAGAGCCTGATTGCTGAATTCACAAATGCCAAACAAACTGCGATAACAGGAGAAAAGCATCAGGTTCTGGAACATCTAGGTGTGAAAGCATCTCTTAAATTTGATTACACAAGCTGGATTCACTGGTCAGATGCGCTAGCAGCACACTGAGGACATCTGCTGGTTACAAGGGGCTAATGCAAAAAGAAATTCATAAACATTTTCCTTTACTGGTGTGGACCAGAATATATTATATATTTATGTTATATTTATACTTATTGTCATTAGTCGGACATTTTCTGACAAAAATAAAGTTGTAAATCTCTCCACAGACCGAAATGCCCAAGGAAGACGTCAGCGTGGTGGAAGTGGACGTGTTTGACGGCAAGTCTTTGTGCGAAGAAGATAAAGTTGTTCTGCCGCTAAAGAAGGACAAGTACCTCTCCGAGGAGCACAGCAGCGGTATTGGAGGCTCGTCCTGCATGTCTTCGCCCCGCCACAGTGTTTCCGACAGCGATGAGGGCGACTCGGGCCAGACCACGGCCAGCACCGTCCAGTACTCGTCAGTGGTGGCCAGCGGATACAAGGGCCAAACCCCAAACCATCAGCCTCCAACGTTCGCCCGCTCCGAGTCCACACAACCGCTGCTGGACTGCGAGGAGCATCCAGAGAATCATCCCGGCGAGAGGAACTCTTACTTTAGACGGGGCCGAGAGCTGGAGCCGCAGAGTATCGATGAGCCTGTTTTCAGCGCGGTGCAGGAGGAAGAAGCATCTCCCGTTGTGGATGATGCGCCGGCGTTAAGTTACATGCCGCAGCAGAGCGGGTATCGACCGCAGTAAAGCAGAACTTTTCCGTAAGCTGTATAGAGCCACATTTTCACAGGGCACCTTTAAGTGCCTGGCATGAACTTTTTAGGTTGCGTTTTAATTGGATTGCAGGCTTATGCTAGACATGTATAGTAACACTAGATTGCATCCTTAAAAAGTAAATATCCGTTTAAAAAACGAAACAAAACAGTGAAGCTGTCTACGGTTTGATATCGCACTCACACTGCCACGTGCCTTTACTGGACGATCAGCCATTGCTGTTTATAACTGGCAATTAAAGCCACTTCCTTAAAGGGGCAGTTTACCCAAAAATGAAAATTCTCTGGTTGTTCCAAACTTTTTTGAGTTTGAATGTTGAAAAGCATGAGCCTATTGAGGTCCGTAGTATTGTTTTTATTGCTACTATAGATAGCGTTGGCTACCATTTGATGATTGTTTGGTGTTCAACAGAAAAAAAGAAATTTGTGAAAAAGTTTAGAACCACTTGAGTTGAGGAAATGGTGAGGAAATGTTCACTTTTGGGTGAACTGCCCCTTTAAAATGTTACTGTTGTTTTGAATCTTGTGTACTTTGTATAAGGACCCTTGAAATACGTTTTTTTTAGTTACCTAAACTCAAATATTTTAAAAAATTTTGTTTTATTTTATTGATTAATCGTGAAAATCAAGTGATTACAATTAAGAAAAAGATTGTCCAGCAGAGAGTGCAGAACTAATGCCAGAATAATTGCTGTTAGTGTTCTGATTGGTCAGTGCCTGAATATTCTTATTGGTCATATCTTGAATTTTCTGGTTGGTCAGAGCCTCAATGTTCTGATTGGTCAGAGCTTGAATAATCTGATTGTTCAGTAGTTAGTTGGTTTTCTGATTGGTCCATGTTTTGGTCAACGCTAATTGCTGTTAGTGTTCTAATTGGTCAGTGCTCAGCCGATGTTCTGATTGGTCAGTGCCAGAATATTCTGATTGGTCATTTCCTGAGTTTTCTGATTAGTCACAGCCTGAATGTTCTGATTGGTCAGTGCCTAGTCGTTGTTCTGATTGGTCAGAGCTTGAATAATCTGATTGTTCAGTAGTTAGACAGTTTTCTGATTGGTCAGTGCTAATTGCTGTTAGTGTTCTAATTGGTCAGAGCCTGAAAATTCGGATTGGTCAGAGCCTGAATTTTTTGATTGGTCAGTCTGAAATTTCAGATTGGTCAGAGTCTGAATCTTCTGATTAGTCAGAGCCTCAATGTTCTGATTGGTCAGTGCTTAGCTGGAGTTCTGATTGGACAGTGACTGAATTTTTTAATTTGTCAATGGCAGAACGTTCTAGTTGGTCAGTGTTTATGTAGTATTTTGAGTTTGTTCAGATTTCTTTATTTTTTTAATTATGTGAGGTTTCAATTTCAAATTTCTGAGGGAAGTTACATCTGTGGTTAAAAATAAAATTTGACGATAACAATTTGAACATTTTGCTCTACTATGGAAATTAGACCAAGTCAAATATTTTATGGAACATAACTGTGTGTTCACACTAAAGACGTTGAGAGCATCAAAGTTCAATCTGGCCGCCCTGAAGACAACGCTGTCTGCCTTTACTGCTCTGCTGGCGAAAGCGTCAAAATTCTCTACATTGATTTTGTATTTAAAGGGGCTGTTGCAGCATATTAGCAAATCACTTACATCCACACATAAAAACTTGCTTTCTAGCATGAAAATGTTGCACACTTTTTTTCAAATTCAGTTAACTTTGGAAGATCAAGATGGTGCATGTGCTGTGGCTTTGCTCCACTTAACCAATATGTCCATTTATCTGAAATATTCTGAAGCAGCAACAGGGGCGGACTGGCCATCTGGCAATTCTGGCAAATGCCAGAAGGGCCGGACCAATTTTTAAATGTGGGCCGGTCAGGTTTTTTTAAAATATGTATTGTTTTTAAGTGCAGACAGCTTTTAACTCTTGCTAGATGTGATATTATGATGATGATAATAATAATAATAAATGTTAAGCATTTGGCCCAATCGGCAACTGCCGCCTGGTTTCAAGATGGGCCGACCCAATCCGAGGTTACCCATACATAATCAAAATCTGGCAAGAATGTCATATTATTTCACCATCTGTAGACTAAATAGTGAATGTGCGTGTCTGTGGGTGGGGCTGTTTCGGTGTGGTAATGTGGGCTGGTGTGTCTACAGTGCCAGGGCTGAATTTTTGTCCCAGTCCGCCCCTGAGCAGCAATACTGTGGTGCGTTTCCCAAAACCATCGTTAGCCAACTAAGGTCGCAAGTTCCTTCGTTACAAACATAGTTTGTTGATTTGCCATTTCCCAAATCCGTCGCTCCAACGAACATTCGCAAACTTGAGGACTTCCAACTACAGCTTTGGAGCTGTAGTTAGAAACATAGTTCCTGGCTGTGTTCTATTCCCACTTATCCCCCCCATATGCCCTATTTAGAACATTCTAACATTCAATGTTGGAGTTATTAAAAATAAAAAAAGCATTAAGGTTATCTCCTTTAGGTGTAATTTGCTTCCAAACTATTTTTACAGTTCAGTTTTAACGATCTTCACGTTTACAATTGTGCTCCCTTCGCAGTGCACTTTGAAAACATTGATGTCATTTTAAACACAGCCTCGTGGCGAAAGCTATAGATGACCTATTATTTAAAAGCAGAATTTGTTACGTCTCCAAAGCTTGTGAAAACAAAAAGCATACGTTAATTCTTTTAATTTATTGTGGGTTTTTTATTACAATATCATTTGGACAAATCAATTTAGGTTTTTCTCTAAAGAAGTAGTTACTCCACCCAGTGTCATTATGGGGGTTTAACGTTATAACTAACATGGTTCAAGCAATGGTTCTGCGACAGAGAAACTAGGGTTTTGGGAAACACCCGTCACTACATCGTTCTTTTCCCAAACGATGCATCGTACTATGATAGTTCCGCCGCGAGTTACATTGTTGTTTGGGAAACGCACCCCTGTTTAATACTGCCGTTATAGTTAGTATGAGATTCCCTTCTTTTAAAAAAATGCATATATAATAGTCACATCAGCAGGCCAGTAACTGATACTGTAAAAAAAACATTGTAAATAATCGGAAATTAGGCAATTGTGGCCAAAACTAAAGTTCTCTGAAATCCTCTCAAGCGGTGGACTTGAATATTACGATTTCGGCTTGCTGCCGAAATGCGTCATAACTCACTACCATAAAGTCAACTTTATTTCAACTCTCCTCGACTCCCACATCGCTAAAGACGCACTGCTCCTCTCCGGTTATCACCGCCCGCTTCCATTGAAAATGAATGACTTCCGGCTACTTTGACGCTCTCGTCGCCTTCTGCCTGAACGCATGTAACTGGATAGGAGTGTTTTGGGAGTGTGTCCGCGCAGTTGATCTTGTAGAGCATGTTAATTTTTAACAGCCTTATTTTACTCATCAATTGAAGATTCCAATTTAAGAAACAATGCCGTGAGTTATTGTTCTGGGTTCTGATGTCATTCTTGCACCACTATATCTGAAATCACACCATTTGTTTTGCTGTAGAAGCTTGATAAGAGTTTATCAAGAATTGACCAATGAAACCTGCTTTATTCAGTCTCAAATATTGATTGTATTCCTGTTAAACGGGAAAACATTGGAGGGTAATTGTGTGATTATTTGTGAAATGTAACATTCTTATTGTACTTGTTGTTTCACTGCGAAGTACATTCAGACGTATAATAGTGATACATTTCTGTTACGATTTCAAGTTAAGCCAAAGTGTTGAGGAATCGTCATGCGGATGATTGAGTTTCCGCATATAGATGACAGATCTTCTCTTATCCGCTTGTTAAGTGTGACGTCACGCGAAGCGGCTTCCGGGTCCAGGCGCTCTATTCAACTGAATGGGGAGACTCATGAAATGGTAATAATAAACGTTTACAAAGCGATTAAATACTTTCGAAAATCACGATCGCAATATATATGTCCATGCCTAATATCCAAAGGCCAGAAAGTGATACATTTTTTATAAATTGTTAAATTTTTGGTATTTGTGATGCAGCAAGCCCAGAGATTGTCGTGTACACTGTGATTTTATTTAAATTTAACTTTAATGTGTGATAGTAATAAAACGTGATCATAAACGAATGATTTCTCCACTCAAATGAATGGCGGCTTGGACCCGGAAACAGTATTACATACGTCACCACTTAACAAGTGGATTAAACCAGTAAATGCTGCTGGAGTGTGTGTCAGAGCAGCTCTGGAGATCATCGGCAGATCCTAAATGTTCTGATGGGTTGGTAGTTGAATGTTCTGATGGGTCAGATCCTGAATGTTCTGATTTGGTCTGAGATTGAATGCTCTGATTGGTCAGTACCTGGATGTTCTGAATGGTCAGATCCTGAATGCTCTGATTGGTCAGTGCCTGGATGTTCTGATTGGTCAGATCCTGAATGTTCTGATTGGTCAGTGGCTGAACGTTCTGATTGGTCAGAGCCTGGATGTTGATTGGTCAGTGCTTAGTGCTCTGCCCGGTCCGATCCTGAATGTTCTGATTGATCAGTGGTTGAATGTTCTGATTGGTCAAATCCTGGATGTTCTGTTTGCTTACCACTTGATTGTTCTGATCGGTCAGATCCTGATTGGTCAGTTGTTTTTCTGGTAGATCAGTGCCTGGATGTTCTGATTGGCCTGAGCTTAGTCAGTGTTCTGCTTGGTCAGATACTGAATGCTCTGATTGGTCAGAGGCTGGATGTTCTGATTTATCAGTGCCTGATTGGTCAGTGGTTAAATGCTCTGATTGGTCAGATACTGCATGTTCTGATTGCTTAGTGCTTGATAGTTCTGATTGGTTAGTGCTTAGTCAGTGTTCCGATTGCTTAGATCCTGGATGTTCTGATTGATCAGTGCCTGATTGTTTTGCTTGGTCAGTGGTTGAATGCTCTGATTGGTCAGCTACTGCATGTTCTGATTGCTTAGTGCTTGATTGTTCTGATTGATCAGTGTCTGATTGTTTTGATTGATCAATCAGAACATTAAACCACTGATCAATCAAATCAATCAGACACTGATCATCAATCAGAACATTAAACCACTGACAGTGTCTGATTGTTCTGATTGGTCAGTGGTGTAATGTTCTGCTTGGTCAGTGCTTAGTCAAGTCATAACCTGGATATTCTTATTGGTCAGGGGAATGTTCTGATTGGTCAGCGTTCTGATTGGCCAGCGGTTTAATCTTCTGATTGGTCAGCTGTTAGTCAGTGTTCTAATTGGTCAGTGGTTAATGTTCAGAGCTTTAAAACTTCACAGTCTCAAGTTGAGATGTCATTTCTCTTGCTTTGTTAGTTTTCTTAAGAAAACAATGAAAAAAAGTGCCAAGTTGCACGTTATTTTTACGTTATTGACAAGTATTACTGATCATATTTCAAATATTCCTCGTTTTACCCATACGCAACAGGATGTGAGCTCTAGCTTGAGTTAACCTTGTATCCGTGGTTCTCGTGATCTCCAATATAAACTAACACTACATTTAAAATGGCATTTATGAAATGCAAATGTTTCACCGTATGCCTTTTCTACATGTATCTCTGTGTGATATCATTTCTGTCATAGCATCACTTATGTGTATATCGCTGATACTAAGGTCTAATAAAGACTTTATCCAAACGTCCTCTAATCATTGTATTTCTGTAGTAACATTTGTTGAGTTCAACTTTGGAATTGTGGGTAATGCAGTACTTTGGTTTTAATTTATCAGAGGGTAAGTGAAGTTTCACAATTTCCGAGGAGCACGTGATATGATTGACTGCAGCTGGCCACCCATCTACAATCATTAGTTAGCCAATCAGATTAATCCAAACTCACTATAAGTAGCCTAGCTAGATTTACTCCCTTATCTTCGTTTTCCGAAGAAAACCCCCATACACCCCTTCGCCTCCTTTACCGCGGGGAGCTCTCGAGAACCACCTGATCTTATACTCCCCTTACTTGCTCTATCGACCAGGCGGGAACCCTGGGCTCAACTATCTCCGAGCTCAGGGTTCTCTCCCGGGACAGTATCCTAAACCTGCTAACATTTGTCAAACAATATTTAAGTGTGAACTTTTGAAAAGAATGTTGTCAAAGGGTGAAATAAATAATGAAAAAGTCGACACAAAATTGCTGGTTTTAAAGCGTTTGCGCACATAAAAAAAAATGATTATTATTAGTTTTTAGTTTACTCACCCTCATGTTGCACTGAATAGTCAAAGATTATGTTGAATACATGATAATAATTATTAATAAGGGGCAGCACAGTGGCTCAGTGGTTACCACTGTCACCTCACAGCAAGAATGTTACTGGTTTGAGTTCTAGCTGGGTCAGCTGGCATTTGAAAACTGGTTGTTTTTGCCAACTGACCATTTTGCCACTTTTTTTTGGTGAAATATGTCTGTCCCAATAGTGTTTATAGCAGCGTGGGACACAAATATGACTGTCAACATCTCTAAAATTGTGTTTTGGTGTTTCTAGACTCAGCCGCGGTCACACGAGCTTGTGTTTGCAAAATGCTGTCGTACGGCGTTGCGAAAAGGGACGGGGTTAAACAATATGATTAGTCATTAATAAAAGTGAGCGATTGCTCCATTTTAAATGATCTTCGATTGGTCTTACACAATCACCTGATGTAATTTTGCAGGTAAGCATTCACCAAGCTTGAACTTTCGATTGCAGTGAAATGCGAAACACGTGCTTGTGTTTCTACGTTAATTACAGGTACGGTACGGTCATCGGTCAAATCAGCGCAGATTAGCTTCACCCTAAGGAGGGATTTGGGAACAAATGAATCACTGAACGAATCATAAAAGAGTCTCTGGGATAATTAGGTAAAAATAAATGCAGATTATAAGACAACGAAAGTGTTTTTTGACCTCAGCTTGTTGCTAGAGACCCCCAAAACCCAAAATGTGACCTTTTAAAATGCAAAATAGGCACTCTTTAAGAGGCTTCATACAAGCGGTAGAGAAAGATGATGCTTTGCAGACACTTTATTACACAAATAACATTGTTACTGAAAATAGTATTCTTGCAATAAAACCTCAGTATCACAACAAATATCAGACACGTCTCACATTAGCTTTGAAAATGTAGTAAATGCAGCCTTAAATACGTCATCTTTTTTTCTGTCGTTTTTTTTTCCGTTTTATCAGATGCAAAAAAAACAACTCAAATCACAGTAGACAGTAGCAGCTCTTAAATATGTGGCACGTCTGTAATAATATATATATATATAGGTGCTGCAGAAGGCGAAATACAGAAAAGGCACAAACATACAGAAAATGTTATGACATGAAATGCCTGGATCCTTTATATATATTAATTGCACTGCTATCGGATCGATAAGTTATCGGAAGAAACGAAGTCGCAGGTAAAAACTCAATAAATAAATCTACCTTTACTCTCTTGTTAAAAAATAATCATCTTTCTCCTTAAAATGACCATCTCGGCGTGGTCCCTTTAAAAAAAACGCATAAATTAAAGTGGCAGTCGTGGGTCTCGGGGAGGACAGTTTTACACTAGAGATCGAATGTTTCAGCAGCCGATACGAACGATTACAGAGGTGACCGAAGCGGAGGGACGGGCTCTTTTGTTTAGGAGGATGAGATTGGCGGTGGTGGAGCGGAGTACTCTTCGTTCTCTGAGTCGGTGGCGTCCTCGTCGTCTTTCTCCATGTCGCTGCCCTCAGTGCTCAGCCGGTCGAAGCCATGTCGAGTGTAGCCTTTGTGAGTGGCGAAGAAATTGCCCAGGTTCAGGCTTCCTGCTGCTTTGCCTGTGGATGAGGAAAAGGCATTAGACAGAAGCCTAGTGAGAGGTAAACACCGTCAACAGGGGAAACTGGAACTGTAAACTGTAACATTTTTAAAACATTTAGTCAATCGTTTTTAGCTTAGCATAAATCATTGAATCGGATTAGACCATTAGCATCCAGCTCAAAAACAAGTTTTTATATTATATTATATATATATATTTCTAGGTCAATATGGCTAGGATTTATGCCCTCATTCAGGTGGGAGCACTTTTAGCCTAGCTTAGCAATAATCATTGATTCGGATTAGACCATTAGCATCTCGTTTAAAAATGAGTTTTAAATATTTTTCCTATTTGAAGTGACATCGAGTACTACGACTGGTGTAAAATGACAGGTTGGTAATTTCTAGGTCAATATGGATAGGAACTATACTCTCATTTATGTGGGAGCACTTTTAATTTAGCTTAGCATAAATCATTGAATTGAGTGGTTCGTTAATATCTCGCTCAAAAACAAGTTTTAATATTCTCCTAATTGAAGCTTGACTTTACTGTGGTCACATCGTGTACTTAGACTGATGTCAACTGAAAGGTTGCCATTTTCTAGGTTGATATGGCTAGGAACTATATTCTCATTTAGGGTAGAGTAATTTTAGCATTGCTTAGCATAAATCATTGAAACAAATTAGATCATTAACGTTTCGCTTTCAAAGTAGTTTTAAATATTCGTCCTATTTAAAGCTTGACTTTTGTAGTTACATTGTGTGCGAAAACTGATTTAGAAAATAGCCTTTTCTACAGTAGGTCGATATGACTAGGAACTATACTCTCATTTAGGCGGAACACTTTTAGCTTAGCTTAGCATAAATCATTGATTCGGATTAGACCTTTAGCATCTCGTTCAAAAATGAGTTTTAAATATTTTTCCTATTTGAAGTGACATTGAATTCTACGACTGGTGTAAAATGAAAGGTTGGTAATTTCTAGGTCAATATGGATAGGAACTATACTCTTATTCATGCAGGAGCACTTTTAATTTAGCTTAGCATAAATCATTGAATTGAGTGGTTCGTTAATATCTCGCTCAAAAACAAGTTTTAATATTCTCCTAATTGAAGCTTGACTTTACTGTGGTCACATCGTGTACTTAGACTAATGTCAACTGAAAGGTTGCCATTTTCTAGGTTGATATGGCTAGGAACTATATTCTCATTTAGGGTAGAGTAATTTTAGCATTGCTAAGCATAAATCATTGAATCGAATTAGACCATTAGCATTTCGCTTTCAAAGTAGTTTTGAATATTCGTCCTATTTAAAGCTTGACTTCTGTAGTTACATCGTGTGCGAAAACTGATTTAGAAAATAGCCTTTTCTACAGTAGATCGATATGACTAGGAACTATACTCTCATTTAGCTTAGCTTAGCATAAATCATTGAATCGGATTAGACCATTAGCATCCAGCTCAAAAACAAGTTTTATATTATATTATATATATAAATTTCTAGGTCAATATGGCTAGGATTTATGCCCTCATTCAGGCGGGAGCACTTTTAGCCTAGCTTAGCAATAATCATTGATTCAGATTAGACCATTAGCATCTCGTTTAAAAATGAGTGTTTAATATTTTTCCTATTTGAAGTGACATCGAGTACTACGACTGGTGTAAAATGAAAGGTTGGTAATTTCTAGGTCAATATGGATAGGAACTTTACTCTCATTCATGCAGGAGCACTTTTAATTTAGCTTAGCATAAATCATTGAATTGAGTGGTTCGTTAATATCTCGCTCAAAAACAAGTTTTAATACTTTCCTAATTGAAGCTTGACTTTACTGTGGTCACATCGTGTACTTAGACTGATGTCAACTGAAAGGTTGCCATTTTCTAGGTTGATATGGCTAGGAACTATATTCTCATTTAGGGTAGATTAATTTTAGCATTGCTTAGCAGAAATCATTGAATCGAATTAGACCATTAGCATTTCGCTTTTAAAGTAGTTTTAAATATTTTTCCTGTTTAAAGCTTGACTTCTGTAGTTACATCGTGTGCGAAGACTGGTGTAGAAAATAGCCTTTTCCTAAAGTAGGTCGAAATGACTAGGAACTATACTCTCATTTAGCTTAGCTTAGCATAAATCATTGAATCGGATTAGACCATTAGCATCCAGCTCAAAAACAAGTTTTTATATTATATTATATTATATATATATATTTCTAGGTCAATATGGCTAGGATTTATGCCCTCATTCAGGCGGGAGCACTTTTAGCCTAGCTTAGCAATAATCATTGATTCAGATTAGACCATTAGCATCTCGTTCAAAAATGAGTTTTAAATATTTTTCTTATTTGAAGTGACATCGAGTACTACGACTGGTGTAAAATGACAGGTTGGTAATTTCTAGGTCAATATGGATAGGAACTATACTCTCATTCATGCGGGAGCACTTTTAATTTAGCTTAGCATAAATCATTGAATTGAGTGGTTCGTTAATATCTCGCTCAAAAACAAGTTTTAATATTCTCCTAATTGAAGCTTGACTTTACTGTGGTCACATCGTGTACTTAGACTGATGTCAACTGAAAGGTTGCCATTTTCTAGGTTGATATGGCTAGGAACTATATTCTCATTTAGGGTAGAGTAATTTTAGCATTGCTAAGCATAAATCATTGAAACGAATTAGATCATTAACGTTTCGCTTTTAAAGTAGTTTTAAATATTTTTCCTGTTTAAAGCTTGACTTCTGTAGTTACATCGTGTGCGAAAACTGATTTAGAAAATAGCCTTTTCTACAGTAGATCGATATGACTAGGAACTATACTCTCATTTAGCTTAGCTTAGCATAAATCATTGAATCGGATTAGACCATTAGCATCCAGCTCAAAAACAAGTTTTATATTATATATATATATATTTCTAGGTCAATATGGCTAGGAATTTATGCCCTCATTCAGGCGGGAGCACTTTTAGCCTAGCTTAGCAATAATCATTGATTCAGATTAGACCATTAGCATCTCGTTTAAAAATGAGTGTTTAATATTTTTCCTATTTGAAGTGACATTGAATTCTACGACTGGTGTAAAATGACAGGTTGGTAATTTCTAGGTCAATATGGATAGGAACTATACTCTCATTCATGCAGGAGCACTTTTAATTTAGCTTAGCATAAATCATTGAATTGAGTGGTTTGTTTATATCTCGCTCAAAAACGAGTTTTAATATTTTCCTAATTGAAGCTTGACTTTACTGTGGTCACATCGTGTACTTAGACTGATGTCAACTGAAAGGCTGCCATTTTCTAGGTTGATATGGCTAGGAACTATATTCTCATTTAGGGTAGAGTAATTTTAGCATTGCTTAGCAGAAATCATTGAAACAAATTAGACCATTAGCATCCCGCTTTAAAATGAGTTTTTAAATATTTATCCTATTTGAAGCTCCACTTCTGTAGTTACATCGTGTACTAAGACCAACGAAAAATGAAAGGTTGCTATTTTCTGGGTCAATATGGCTATAACTATACTCTCATTTAGGCTGGAGCACTTTTACCCTAGCTTAGCGTAAATCATTAAAGGGGATTAGACCACTAGCATCTAGCTCAGAAACAAGTTTGAATATTTTTCTTATTTAAAGCTTGACTCTTCTGTAGTTACATCATGTAGAAACACTGGCGTAAAATGAAAGGTTGCTATTTTCTCGGTTGATATGGCTAGAAACTATACTCTTAATCAGAGGGAAGCACTTTTAGCTTAGCATAAATCATTGAATCGGATTAGACTTATTAGCGTATATATAAATGCAAATAACCATTTTCTCAAATAAATGTGTGTAAGTAGACTTACTGTGCAGATATACAAACAAAAAATAAATATACACATACTACATAAACACCACGTAATCTTTATTTTGGATGCTAATAATATCAATGATATTGCTATACTGCTCAGTGATTTTCGGTTTTGTTCTCCCCCCGCTCTTTAGCGGGATCGGGCGCGGCGGGTAGAAAACGGGGCGGGTCGGGCAGCGGGACAACAAGTGCTTAATATAAGCGGGAGCTATCGGGTTCGGGCTAAAACCTGGCGGGTGCGGGCGGGAGCGGGATTCAAAATTTAGTCCCGCGCAGATCTCTAATCTAAACTACTTTGGGAAAATCCTTTATTCTCTTACCTCTGATTTTGCCCAAGATTCCTCCTGCTGACCCTGAAGGCTCCAGCTTCACCTGACAATCATCTTAAAAGGAGAAACAGATCAAAATCAGTCCTGCAGAAAGCAACACAGAGGAAAGAGAACGAACAGAAACAAAAAAGCAGTTACCGCTGTACATCCTGCTCTTCTTCCAGCGGATGAAGACCCCGATGGCGATGACGCTCACCAGCGGGACCAGCAGGAGGCTTGTGATGACGGCGGGAGACACATTCTGAGCGCTCTGATTGGCCACGCTCTCAGGGCTCTTATTGGCCACACTCTCAGGGCTGTGATTGGCCACGCTCTGCGGAGGCTCTTTCTCTTTCGGAGCTGCCAGCGGCTGCTGATGCGGAGACACTTCTTGGATCTTCTGCACAGCCGCCTCCACATAATGAGGGGGAATCTTGGGTAACGGCTTCAGCTTGGCCTGCACAAACGTTTCTGTTTCTAAAATGAAAGGAAGGAGAATATTAGATGACTATAGATTTGGGGGATGCTTAGTTCTCATGAAAATTTGACAATCTTCATTTATTCATCTTAGTTACTGTATTTATCAGCCACAGCGGAATGAACCACCAACTATTCCAGCATATGTTTTACGCAGTGGATGCCCTTCCAGCTGCAACCTAGTACTGGAAAACCATACACTCTCATCGACATTTGGACAGTTTAGTTTATTCAATTCACATATAGCGCATGTCTTTGGACTGTGGGGGAAACCGAAGCACCCAGAGGAATATAGGCTCTTTTTACAACCTCCGTGAAGTAAACACATAAAAAAGATGTGTAATTTTCTGTAAACGTAACTCATCTTTAACCAGTTAAACTCTGCTGCTATTTTATGATTTCCGTCTGAATTTTGCCTACCCAAATTTAAAAGCTTCCTAAATCCACATGCAGAGGTGTAAATGCAAAAAATGTGGTATCATTTTAAAGAAAACCCTTTGAATTTTCATAAAACACTACTGAAAGTGTTTAAAATAACTAAATATGTTGTGTGTGTGTTATATAAACCCCTAAAAAATTTGATGCTTTTTGTATTTTTTTTATAAACTCAAATTTGAAAGTGTACCTTTTAGGTTCTGTGTGGTCTAGAGTGCTGTAATTAATTTTGGTGGTTCCTGCACATGTCTGTAATCATAGGACAAAAGAGAAATGTCTCCACCATAATCTATGCAAAATTTATTGTATTCCAACTGATGAGAGGTGCTGTACAAGCCACAGGGAGCGGTCATTGTTTTCATATTTCACTATTCTTTTGTTTGATCAAACATTATTCACTGTGTTTTAACCACGTCAGACATATAAAAGGATTACTTATGCACATCACCTCAAAAACAGAGGAGAATGGCCCTGAAGCGCACAGCATAAGGTAAGAGATGACTCCTGTCTGTGCTATCTGGGGCTGCTTATTGATCATAAATGTATTGTTTTCACTTCTGCGCCATGGAAACACCGCGATTCATTCGACAACTGTTTGATATGTGAATATAATTCAGTAAAAAGAATGCTAAAACCGTATGACTACCGGCAAGAGCTTTCATTTGAGCTATAACTTGTACATGTGTCATATATGAACCATATGAAAATGAACCAATGTTCAATACCCAGCTCGGGTATCCAAAATACTGTGTATTTAAGTGTAAATAACTTTTGGTATGGTAGAATAAAAACCAAAGTGATGTATATGTGCATAAAATATAGATTCTAAACTATAAAACGAATCCACTTACGGGGGTCTGGTGCAATGGTAGCCCTTTAAATCTTAAAGCGAAAGTCGATGACGTCACGGACCCGGTGCCGGGTACGCAGAGTTTAACTGGTTAAAAGAACAATCCACTTTTTTTTTTGGAAAGATATTACAACTGCCCTAGACTTAAACATTTTAGTTTTTCCCTTTTTTGAAGTCGGTCGAATGGATTAAAAAATGTAAAACTAAACTGTCTTAACTCTAGGGTAGTTAAAGGACATCTGTGTAGTTGGCACCACACAAAAATAATTCCCCAAAACTTTGCTATTCCTTTCTGCTGCTTTTGTGCTGAACTGTGCTGCTAAAATGAATGTTTGTGGTAGTATGATGTCTGAGATTTTGAAGATTATTTATTTTTTCCGTGTGACTAAAGAAGATTTGCTTTTTGCATCTTCTCGACATGTCAGCACAAACCACAGATGCATTATGCAAATTTTCTAAGAAAATACTGGAAATACAACTCAATTCAGGCAGATTACAGTCACAGTACAGATTTTACAGTCACTACTTCTCTCATTTCTTACCAGTAGTTCTGGTTTTTTTTAACTGTGGACAACTGTGGGATGCTTCATAATCAGTGAGATATTCAGAGGAACAGTAAACGTTTCTCACTTCAGTCAAGAGTGTTTATGTACAGCTGCTGGTGTTACTGGCACTGTCTGCAATAATGAACACAATCCAGATAACTTACCTTCGATTTCTTGGACCTCGATTCCACCCTTTTTAACCGAGCGATGTTCTGCCTCTACAATGACAATTTGTTTTTAGAAAAACACACACAGTGAAAATGCACTAGTCATTTTAAAAAGCTAGTTTGACGTAGAATTAAGTTTTCACTGTTTCAACTTCATTTTATTAGGTTTGTTGAAAAAGCTATACGTCAGTTTAATTACAATAACTACACTCACCAGGCATTTTATTAGGTACACCTCACTAGTACTGGGTGGGACTCTCTTCTTCCTTTAGAACTGCCTTAATCCTTCATGGCATAGATTCAACAAGTTACTGGAAATATTCCTCAGAGATTTTGGTCCATATTGACATGATAGCATCACGCAGATGCTGCAGATTTGTCGGCTGCACATCCATGATGTGAATCTCCCATCTACCACATGCCAAAGGTGCTCTATTAGATTGAGATCTGGTGACTGTGGAGGCCATTTGAGTACAGTGAACTCTAAACCATTCGAATGTCACAGAAGAAATCAACGTTGGCATCAACAAGGCATTTGCGCCCACAGAATTGCCTGGATATTTTCTCCTTTTCTGACCATTCTCTATAAACCCTAGCAATGGTTGTGCATGAATATTCCAGTAGATCAGCAGCTTCTGAAACAACCATGCCATGTTCAAAGTCCTGCCATGTGATTGGCTGATTAGAAATTTGTATTAATGAGCAGTTGGACAGGCGTACCTAATAAAATAGCCGGTGAGTGTAGAAGTCAGTCTTTTACTTGAAATGACTTATAAAGTTAAAAATTTAGATCAGCAATATTATTAATTTTAATTTATTTTTACAGGGTAAGACAAAACAAAATTGTTTATTTTTAATAAACAAATATCTTGTTTACAGTTTATATTTTCAAAGACACTGAAATATCCAAATTTTTTTATATTAACTAGTGCTGGGCAAAGATTATTTGCGATTAATTGCATCCAAAATAAAGGCTTGTTTTGACATAATGTATGTGCATCACATATACACATTCATATACACATAAATACATGGAAACAACTATACAAAACATTTTTGTTACTTAGATATTTTTTATATTTTATATCTAAATACAAGTAAACATTTCTCAAATTCATGGATGTTTATTTAATAATACATAATAAACATACACCATTTTTTTGGATGCGATTAATCATGATTAATTTTTCATTTATATATCATAACTTACTTGCAGACTGAATGAACTTCATTACAGAATCTGCTGCTGCGTCTCCAACAAACACAGTCCCATCTGCTGTCACAACAATGTCATGTGGTAACTTAAATACCTGAAAAACATCAGAACAAGAAAGAAAATGAGGAAACAGATCTGTAATAAGACAACGTGTTCAACATGATCATACAGTAAGGGTTGAGAAAATTATCCAACTAAAGCATTATCAATGGTTTGCTGTGTACTAAAGGATATTAAATGCAAGACCTTAGGGCTGCACAATATTGGAAATATACAACATATTGGTTTTGTTTTCCTGTGATATAGATAGAGATGTAAATATAATTTGACCAGATAATTTGGATCATTTATTTGATTGATTGGGGTGTTTTCGTAAGGGTGTGAATTATGTAGAAAAAATAAAAAATTGCAGGCAAGAATATTTACAACAGAGCAAAGAAACAATTAAAATAAGTGAAAATACTGATTAAAAGATCATTCCTTGGATTTACTAAATTTGTTTTAATTTAGCCCAAATAAATTGTTTAAAACCCCTTACCTTAAAAACATGAAGTTGGACATTACTAAATTAAACTTGTTTGGGTAAATTCAACAAAGTTTCCCTCTGTTATGATAATACTTTGGGCAGCATGGTGGCGCAGTGGTTAGCACGATTGCCTCACAGCAAAAAGGTCGCTGGTTCAAGCCTGGCTGGGTCAGTTGGCATGTCTGTGTGGAGTTTGCATGTTCTCCCCGTTTGAATGTGAGAGTGTATGGGTGTTTCCTGGTGTTGGGTTGCAGCTGGAAGGGCATCCGCTGTGTAAAACATATGCTGGATAAGTTGGTGGTTCATTCCACTGTGGCAATCCCCAGATTAATAAATGAACTAAGCCGAAAAGAAAATGAATTAATGAATTAATACACATTTTATGCGGCAGATGCCCTTCCAGCTGCAACTCATCTCTGGGAAACATACACACAGGGCCGGAGCAAGCTGAACTGCCGCTCTAGGCAAAGGACGATCACGCCGCCCTCAAACCGAAAGTGAAAACGAAAATGACCGGTTATCAAAGTGAAGAACCCTATTCTGCCGCCCTAGGCACGGGTATAACTGGGGACGCGGGTGGTGCGGGAGATGTTTGGATGTCGCCCTCTCTATTCTGCCGCCCTTGGCGCGGATATAACTGTGGACGCAGGTGGTGCGCGAGGTATTCGGATGTCGCCCTCTCTGCTGCCCTAGGTGCGGGTATAACTGCGGAAGCGGGTAGTTCGGGAAGTGTTCGGATGTCGCCCTCTCTATTCTGCCGCTCTAGGCGCAGATATAACTGCGGAGTGTGGACACAGGTGGTGCGCGAGGTGTTCGGATGCCGCCCTCTCTGCCGCCCTAGGGGCGGGTATAACTGCGTTCGCGGGTGGTGCGGGAGGTGTTCGGATGCCGCCCTCTCTATTCTGCCGCCCTAGGCGGCCGCCTAGGTCGCTTCTATGGACGCGCCGGCCCTGCATACACACACTCATTCATACACACTTATACACTACTGACAATTTAGCCTACCCAATTCACCTGTACCGCATTTCTTTGGACTGTGGGGGACACCGGAGCACCAGGAGGAAACCCATGCGAACTTAGGGAGAACATGCAAACTCCACTCAGAAACGCCAACTGAGCCGAGCTAAGTGACCCAGCGACCTTCTTGCTGTGAGGCGACAGCACTACCTACTGCGCCACTGCGTCATCCCTCATCTATTTTCAATTGTTTATTGAAATCACATTGTGATATCGATGCCAAAACTATATATTGACAATACATATACAAGACGCAGAGACAAAAATAACCACCCGACGTGAAGTGAAGGTATCTTCAAGATTGCACAAATGAATGAATGCTCCCGCAACTGCCACTAACTACAGTGTGTGGTTACTGTTCATTTTGGAGGGAATCACATTCATTGAGAACTATGATCACAACTGACTGGAACTACATCTGCATTAAACAACTTTATTGCACAACCCTCCGGCCAGTCAAGAATTTCAACTGACACTAGAATAAGTAAGGAGGAGCTTTGATTCATGTCAGGCGGATCTTTGCCTTTGCGACATGCATTAAAAATCCTTTAAAGCACAGCAAACTGTTGATTATTCCATAGTCAAGGTATATACAAGTATTACTCTGAGTCTTAACAAGACAATATTTGATCAAATTTTCATTAGTTTCAACATGCTAGATCTACCTGCTTTGAATCAGTCAAGAGAGAGATTCTGTGCGAGAATAAATGACACAGGTATTTCTAATAGCTCATAGTCACATGTGCTAGCTTTTTATAAATATTTGTAACCATATTTGGGGCGAGGCAGTGGCGCTGTCTCCTCACAGCAAGAAGGTCGCTGGTTCGAACCTCGGCTCAGTCGTCGTTTCTGTGTGGAGTTTGCATGTTCTCCCTGCCTTCGCGTGGGTTTCCTCCGGGTGCTCCGGTTTCCCCCACAGTCCAAAGACATGCGGTACAGGTGAATTGGGTAGGCTAAATTGTCCGTAGTGTATGAGTATGTGTGTGAATGTGTGTGTGTGTGTGTGGATGTTTCCCAGAGATGGGTTGCGGCTGGAAGGGCATCCGCTGCGTAAAAACTTGCTGGATAAGTTGGCGGTTCATTCCGCTGTGGCGACCCCGGATTAATAAAGGGACTAAGCCGACAAGAAAATGAATGAATGAATGTAACCATATTTGTGAGTTGGCTGGTCTTAATCAGCTCCCTGGTGAAACACACACATCTGTGTTCTCCAGATTACAGAGACAAATAAAGTCTACATCATCTGTCACCTAAGTTACTATGTTTACTAGTACAGTTTGATTTATTTGGAGCGACGATCGAAACTGACTTGCGCATTAAACAATTTTATTGCACACCTTCCAGCCAATCAGAATCAAGGATTTCAACAGACACTAAAATACAAAATCAATACATAACAAGTAAAGATATCTGCCTATGGGAATGAACATGCATCCTAAAGCATGTACAGTAGTAGTTGGCCACATATTAAAGACATCACTATATGTAGAGTATGAAGAAACCGAGGCCTTTACTGTACATGTGCAACATGTACACCAACTAATAAACAACTCTCAGTTACATCACAGCTCCTCTTGATTGTTTTGAGCAAATCTTATGCTCAGCTGAGTGTGCACATTGTATGTACCGAATGTGCTGCAATCTGTACCTGTGTGTCTGGACTGAAGGAATCCAGGATTTCCTTGCTTGAGTAATTGATGACAAACCCCTGAAGAGGTGCAGCCTGACCGTATGGAGGTTCTCCGTTCACAGCGTAGAGTAGGCCACCTGAAGAAATAACAGTAGAAAGATGAATACACATTTTGTTAGAAATACTTATATGCTTTACTTGTTTGTTCAAATAACTTCTATTTTCACTTATAGCACTTCATCTTTGCATTGATATTTAATAGCTCTTGTTTAAACACAGGGCGAAGCAGTGGCGCAGTAGGTAGTGCTGTTGCCTCACAGCAAGAGGGTTGCTGGGTCGATCTTCGGCTCAGTTGCCGTTTCTGGCTCAGAGTTTGCATGTTCTCCCTGCGTTTGCATGGGTTACCTCCCAGTGCTCCGGTTTCCCCCACATACATGCGGTACAGGTGAATTGGGTAGGCTAAATTGTCTGTAGTGTATGAGTGTGGGTGAGTGAGTGAGTGTTTGAGGATGTTCCCCAAAGATGGGTTGCGGCTGGAAGGGCATACGCTGCGTAAAAACTTGCTGGATAAGTTGGCTGTTCATTCCGCTGTGGCAACCCCAGATTAATAAATGCACTAAGCCGACAAGAAAATGAATGAATGAATGTTTAAACACACTATGAATCCACATTTCCAAGGATTGTTAGTCTGCATTAGTTAGTTCAGCTGGAGCCAGGAACACTTCCCTAAAGACATTATATTTGAACAGCATCTGCGCTTATGTTAGTCTTTTTTATTTTTCCATTATCCATAATCCTGGACCAGGCCGTATTCTAAGCAGCTGCTGTGGTGGTTATGGAGGAGTGGAGAGAATGAGATTGATCCTTGTAAGATGCCAGTGACAGACGAGTCCTCGCATTGATCCTGAAGGGCCAGCCTGTACACTAGCTGGTGACCTCTCCCACCTGCAACTTCTCCATGATGGACGTCCAAGCGCTCTTCAGCCTCCGGCGCCTAGACTGCAGCTCTGCACGAGACGTTTAGCTACAGGAGAAATGGTCGTGCCAAACTAAGCCTGGTTTCTCTTGTGGTTTTTTAATTCTTCACTTTCGCCAATTGGAGAAGCTTTTTCCTCGCTGCTGTCGTCACTGGCTTGCATGGTTCGGGACCCGTGGAGCTGCGCATGGATAGATTTGCTCTTCAGTGTTTGGACTCTCAGCAGTGAATATTAAACCACACTGAACTGAACTAAACTGAACTAACACTGAAAACTGAAGTGACACTGTTTCAATTTACTATAATCTTCTATGTGATGCTGCTTTGACACAATCTATATTGTAAAAGCGCTTTACAAATAAAGATGAACTGAAGTGAATTGCCGCTCTGTAATTTCTCCTTTGTACTCCAAATGTAACACTGGTCATTATGGCCAAACAGTTCAATCTTAGTTCCATCAGACCACAGGACATGTCTCCAAAAATTATTCTTATTCCCAGTGTAATTTAGCTAACTGTAATCTGGCTTTTGTTGTTGATTCTGGCTTTCCAATGTTGTCTCACAGGGAAGCAGTGTGTTTGAGGTTTTCCTTAAATACTATTCTACAGTAGTGCGTCCAATTCACTCCATTATTGTCAATTAGCCAATCAGAAACTTCCAAAACCTTGACACCATCATCTGAGCTGTTTCAGAGGCATAATAATCTTATTGTATGTAAACTTGACTTTCAAGAAAAGTTATAACAATTTCTCAAAACATCTCTCTCATTATTCTGCTATTAAGCATAACAGAAACTAATGTGATAATTCTAACTTACCTAAAAGAGAAAAAGTTTAGTCACATTAACATCTGACTTTTTTTTTTTTTTTAAATGGTTGTGTGCCTTTTTATACAGTGTATGTAAACTTCTGGTTTCAACTGTATGTACATTTCTAGCCTATTAAAGGCTTCTTTCTCATTATGTAGTTAATAACAAAAGATATAGGCTACTATCTGTTTTTGGTTGTGAGACTTAGTTTGGACGAAGTTGTCGGCGATTCTTCCTATTGTAAAGTCATGTAATGTGAAACCCCCGGTTGCCAATCCATCTTGCAGTGTAAACACAGCACCAACGAAACGCTACTCCACAAAGTCATGAAGTGTGAAAACATCTAATAATAATAATATTAATAATAATATTAATTCTTGTTTACATTTCTATAGCGCTTTTCTGGGCACTCAAAGCGCTTTACACAATGGGGAGGAATCTCCTCATCCACCACCAGTGTGCAGCATCCACCTGGATGACACCACACACCACACACCAGCTGATTGGTGGAGAGGAGAGAGAGTGACGAAGCCAATTATAATATGGGGATGGTTAGGAGGCCATGATGGACAAAGGCCAATGGGCAAAGTTGGCCAGGATGCCGGGGTTAAACCCCTACTCTTTTTCAAAGGACATCCTGGGATTTTAAAGGACCACAGAGAGTCAGGACCTTGATTGAACGTCTCATCCGAAAGACGGCGCTCACTGAGCAGTATAGAGTCCCTGTCACTATACTGGGGCATTAGGACCCACTCAGACCGCAGGTTGGGGGCACCCTGCTAGCCTCAATAACACCACTTCCGACAGCAACCTAGCTTTCCTCTCATCTGTGACACGACTACTTTGAAAATCATGCAGTCAGAACTCGGCATAAGTCTAATCTCAACATGAAATTTCAACTTGCAATGCATAATCAGTACAAGATCTCACAAACACGCATCCTTCTCTCCTCATGCTCACCTTGAGCAGGTGAGTATGCAATGGCGAACACTTCTCCTCCAAACACGTCTTTCTTGATCTCCTTCACAAACTCGCCAGTATCTGCCATGAAGCACTGGATCCGCCCATTGTCTCGATCCGCCACACACAACTCCCGTTTATCCGGCAGGAATGTCAGGCTGTGCGGGATCCGGAACGGGACACGTCGCTTCCTGTCCGAGGAGCCTTTGCCAACAAAAAGAATGATTATTAATCAGAAATGAAAGCTGAAACTTACTTAACTGTTTACAGTACACATCAAAGAACTGGTCATTGTTAAAGTATTATATGTGACCCTGGACCACAAACCAGCCTTACAGTATGTTGCACACGTATACAGCAGGGAAAATAAGTATTGAACACGTCATGATTTTACATGAGAATAATATTTCTAAAGGAGCTTTTGACATGGAATTGAGATTTTGGTAAAAACCCAAACAATACGGACATAAAAATGAAACAAAACAAATAAAATCCGAAAAATAAGTTACGTTTAATAACAATGAAATGACACGAGGAGAAAGTACTGAACTACTGAAATGTGTTTAATACTTTATACAAAAGGCGTTTTAGTGATGGCAGCTTAAAGACGCCTTTCATATAGAGAATGAAGTCAAATGAATTGCTCAGATGTGATTTTGACTTCAACAGAGTGTAAAAATCTTGATGGTTTAGTGGGTCTCATCCATCAAATCTGAGCTTTAATTAGTATTTTCTATTGGATTCAGGTCAGATGATTGGCTGGGCCATTCTACAGCTTGATTTTCTTTCTCTGAAAGCATTTGAGAGTTTCCTTGGCTGTGTCTTGAATCATGGTCTTGCTGAAATGTCCACCCTGGTTTCATCTTCATCATCCTGATAATATAGATGTTGGACTGAAGCTGCTGATATTAATTTACACAGAAGAAGGACAGAGGGTTGCTGAAGAACAACTGAGAGATTTCAGCTGCTGTCTGGGCTTTCACTGCCTTACCACACCTCCCTTTCTTCATGTGTTCAATACTTTTTCACCGCGTCAAATCATTTTATTGTTCATTCATTCATTAATTTTCTTGTCGGCTTAGTCCCTTTATTAAACCGGGGTCGCCACAGCGGAATGAACCACCAACTTATCCAGCAAGTTTTTTTTTTTTTACGCAGCGGATGCCCTTCCAGCCGCAACCCTTCTTTGGGAAACATCCACATACACATTCACACACACACTTACACTACGGACAATTTAGCCTACCCAATTCACCTGTACCACATGTCTTTGGACTGTTTGGGAAACCAGAGCACCCGGAGGAAACCCACGCGAAGGCAGGGAGAACATGCAAACTCCACACAGAAACGCCAACTGAGCCGAGGTTCGAACCAGCGACCCAGCAACCTTCTTGCTGTGAGGCGACAGCACTACCTACTGCGTCACTGCCAACATCTGGGCAAATTTTTAAGTCAACAGCACCTTTAGAAATATGTTTTCTGAGAAAAATGGATGTGTTCGATACTTATTTTCCCTGCTGTTTTTTTTAGAAACAGACAAAAATACATCATTGTAAGGGCCAAAATAATTGATTTTGCTTTGATTCCAAAAAAAATATTAAGTAAAGATCAAAGTCCAAGTTTGATTAAAGATCAAAGTTTTGATTATTAATATGTATTTCATGTTACGGCTGTAGCCGTATATTAGTGGTATTTTTGTCTTTCGTTCTTTCTCTTTCTCTCTCTATCTTTCTTCATGCCTGTCAATTCTGTTAGGTCCTCCTTCATGACAGCTGATTGGTCAGGAAACCCGTCCATATGAAAAGGACGCCAGGAAGAGCGGAGGAGAGCGCACTTTTCCTTTGATCTTTCCTTTTATTTTTGTAGTTTTTGCTTAACTTTCGTTTGGGTAAAATTGTTTTGCATTACTTTTTGAGAACTTTGTACATTTTCATTTCGTTTGATTTGTTTGTTATTTTGTGGCCAACTCCTTCCTGTCTATATTGAGCTATACCTCCTCAAGTTCACTCTTTTCTCAGAGTAAGGTGGATAGGCAAGATGTCGTACGACTTCCATTCCGCAAACACGTAGGAAATGTGTTGATAAAGACATCAGGTAAGAGGTGAACGCCATCTTTTTATTTATTTTATTCTATTTTACAGTATTCTACATGCTGAAGACCTTTTCTTTTCTTTGATTTGCATCTGTTTCTAGAGAGGTAAGGTGTTATTTATGAGTTTGAACTGTTTTGTTATATTTCTTTCTTTTGTTTGGCTTTACTATCATCCCCTTACTCCTGAGTTGAACAATTTTTTGATTGATACTTTGTTTGAAATTGCTACTTTATTACATCCTTTTTATTATTGTAAATATTTCTCTTTTTTGTATGTCTATTTGGGCATTATTCTGGTTTCCACTTCTACATTAAATCACATTTGTTGGCAGTTCTGTTGTCAGTGTCTTTTGCTTACACCATCAAATTGTGAAATTACCACACCTTTTAAATGTTATTCCTTTTACCCCAGGTAAACCAGGGGGTGTCCTACCGGGGGTGTCCAAACTGTCCTAGAGAGTTTAGCTCCAACCCTAATCAAACACACCTGTACCAGCTAATCAACCTCTTCCTATATAATATAAACTTCTTGGCAGGTGTGTTAAAGCAAGTTGGAGCTAAACTCTGCAGGACACCGGCCCTCCAGGACCGAGTTTGGACACTTCTGTGGACTAACATCAAAGAGGTTGTAACATACAGTTAGAGGCGATATGCTCAATATTTAGACTTTTTAACCCTCACATTCCAGATAACACATACTGTAGTCATATCTCAAACAGATATTCTCCAATCCTTACAACCCATACATCAATGAAAAGCATATTTATTCAGCTTTCAGGCTATATTTACGTTTTAGTTTTAAAAGAATTGACACTTATGACTGGTTTTGTGGAGCATGATCATATATACTTGTTACACAGAGTCTGACAGAACTTTCCACACATTCTTTTTGAATATGAAAGCGAGCATCCAATGTGTACCTGCTCCCCAGTGTGAAATGTATTTGCCCTCAGGTGAGAACTGAAGGATCCTGGAATTGCAATAGCCATCTGAAACATAGACGTTTCCAGTAACAGGGTCTACGGCCACATCTGTAGGCTGGCAGAAATGCTTCTTGTCACTTCCTGGTTCAAAAGCTTCTCCCAAGACCAGAAGCTGCTGATCTTTGCCGTTGCCGCTCAGTTTGAATACCTACATATGGAGAAACGAGTGCTGTTAAATGATCAATCACAACTAATCATTACAAAATAAATGTTTGTGTTGACAATTTTGTGTGTACCATGTATATTTATTATGTATATTTAAACTCAAATATACACAGTTAAAGTCAAAATGATTAGCACTCCTGTGAATTTTTTTTCCCTCAAATATTTCCCCAAAAATGTTCAACCGAGCAAGGAAATGTTTCACAGTATTTCCTATAATATTTTTTCTTCTGGTAAAATTCTAATTTGTTTTATTTTGGCTAAAAATGAAAGAAGTTTTTTTATTTTCTTTTAAAACCATTTTAAGATCAATATTATTAGCCCTCTTACGCAATATTTTTCTCATTGTCTACAGAACAAACCACTGTTGTACAATGATTTGCCTAATTAACTTGCCCAATTAACCTAGTTATGCCTCTGAAGGGCTAATAATTATTCAATTGTGTGCATATATATATATATATATATATATATATATATATATATATATATATATATATATATATATATATATATATATATTTTTTTTTTTTTTTTTTTTTTTTTTGATAGACTCAAATAAAATAAATTTATTTTGAGAGAAAACCAACTTTATTATACTTGCAGGAGCAAGTATGTCAGTTATTATTGCTTAAATAAAAGAGCTGAAACCATCGTGAATTATACATATTTGTACACTAATTCAAACCCATAATGTACCTCCAAAGTTTCTACAGGTTTCACCAAATTTAAAACTTTTTAGACCTTTTTAAGATTTTAGACTTTTACAGGGCAAAACACTAAGGATTTTTTTAAATGGCCGGTGGATTCTTTTTTTTTTACTTTCCCTATTAAAATTGAAATTTGGCCATTTCTTAGCCACATATTTTAAATAATGTGTCAAAACATAGTCAGTTATGTTTATTATATATTTATATACACATTTTAGTTTCAAAAAATGTTTAAAACAAATGACATTTTGAAAGCTGGGAGAAAATTCAGAAATAATGCTGCTGAATGCTGTATTAATGTCGAAATATTCATAGAACATAGTTTACTGTTTTATTCTCAGTATTTTAATCACTATTCTTGCTTTAAATCTCTCAAAATATTAAATATATAAGTTCAAGTCAGAATTATTAGCCCCCCTTTGAATTTTTTATTTTTTAAATATTTCTCAAATTATGTTTAACAGTGCAAGGAAATTTTCACAGTATGTCTGAAAATATTTTTTCTTCTGGAGAAAGTCTTATTTGTTTTATTTTGGCTAGAATAAAAGCAGTTTTTAATTTTTTTTTTACATTTTAAGGTAAAAATTATTAGCCCCTTTAAGCTATTTTTCCCCGATAGTCTACTGAACACACCATCGTAATAAAATAAATTGCCTAATTACCCTAACCTGCCTAGCTAACCTAATTAACCTAGTTAAGCCTTTAAATGTTACTTTAAGCTGTATGGAAGTGTCTTGAAAAATGTCTAGTCAAATATTATTTACTGTCATCATGGAAAAGATAAAATAAATCAGTTATTAAAAAATGAGTTATTAAAACTATTATGTTTAGAACTGTGTTGAAAAAAATCTTCTCTCCGTTAAACAGAAACTCCGACTGTGTAAAAAAATATTTTATTTAAAATAATTTATTCACCATCAACATTTATGCATAAATACATGGAGAACTTTTAAACAAATGTCACTGTAAAGATGTAAAGAAGATAATCAAACCATATTAGCAAATAGAGTTCATCAATTTTACTCTTGTTAAACGTATTTTGGTTTTGTTTTTTAGATGGATTAAGGGTTGTTGTGGCTATTGGGAAGCTTTACATGGACAAAGAAAAATTAAGACCTGTTTAAAAGACACACAATGCCACATATCAGAAAATTTAAGACTTTTTAAGGCCTGCATTTTTAGACATTTAAGACATTTTAAGTCTTTTTGTGACATCTGACACCCTGACCTCAATAATGTCCACTTAACGGCTACAGGATACCCTTAATGCACTTTGAGGGCTGTTTAATATACAGTAATTCCCACGTCTCTCCAGAAGATGGCATCCGAAGCTGAATCAGCCATCATCCATTTTCTAAAGTTGCATCCAGAATATTATCCAACAGCCATGAATTCATTTTAAAATTGACTAGTTTAATTCAGGTTTATAAATATCAGATCAATATTTTTATTACTGCCTGAGCGTCAAGCTTGCTATGTTTCAGTGTATTACATTGAAAACAATGTAAAAGCAACAGCACTTCCAGCACACTCATATTTCATTCACTGCTTTAAGCGGACAAATAAATGGATTTATTTAGGCAACAGTGAACAAGAGTATATGATTTCAAACACCTCCAATAACTTAATTCAGCTAAAAAGTGCGTGTCTTCACCTGATGAAGTGCTACATCGGTCACCCAGTAATTATCGTCATGATCAGTAGTTATTCCATGTGGCAAATAAAACCTGTTTTAAACAAACAAACATTTGATTTAATAACAAATGCGTAGAATTAGGGACAGAAACAACTGCATTACTCCACATGCAAAAACAAAAACATTAACTTACATGTTTTTTCCTGAAGCTTTGAGCACTTTTCCTTTGACTGAATCCACCAGAAGGATTGTGGATTGTTGAATCGGGCCTTGATCCCTCAGCTGGTAGATGGCGTTCATATTAAAGGAGCTGCAGATTCAATTTGACTTGATTATAACCACATATTGCAACATTCACAACTTCAGTGGAACAGTGCACCTAAAAATAAACCACACACCTAAAGTGCTTTCATCAAAACATTCACTAAGAGGTGCTTTTCTTAAGAAGGGCCAAAAACAAAACTTGATTGAGGGTTGTTGATCAAAGGTATTTAGGTAATTTCCTAATTTATTTTATAATATTCAGAAATAAATAGCAAAAAATACTTTAATTGTATTACCTAATGAATTAAATCTTTTAAAGAGCCCCTATTATAGGTTTTTTAAAATGACCTTTCATGTAGTGTGTAACACAGCTCTAAGTGAAGTGAAATATCCAGCTAAGGCTTAAATCTGTACGTGTACAGTGTTTAAAACTATTGATTCATCTATAAAAGAGTCGACTCATAGTGCTTCAAACGAGTCGTCTTGATAACGAGTCATTAGGTGTTTCGCCATGACGTACTAACGAAACCAAATTATTCACGTGAACGCGCAAACCCGGGAGATTTGAAACCTGCGGCCCCGCCCTCTAACACAAACACACATACACACACACACACACAAACACACACACAAACATGCCGGTCGATTGAAGTCACACTGCAGATGGATATTATTGAGTCTCTACCCAAAGATGAAACCTCAGCATAAGCAGTTGGAAACTACTGGAAACTTCTGGAAACTACATGCTACAAAGAATACTTCGTTTGTTAAAGGAAGGATCAGTAAAGACTACTGATCGGACATGTCAGGACATGGATCAGTTTCTTCCTCCATTTCTCAAGTGTAAGTATGTGCGATTAATGTTGTTGCCTCGTTTGCTCTAGCTTGCAAATGTATTTAGTTGTGATTTGTTACTTGTAACCGCGTGTACTGTTTTAGGTTAATTCGCTATATTCTCATATCGCGTGCAAAACGCGACGTGTGCCGTTTTGTTAACGTTCCCATGGAGGAGGGTAATATGTGTGTGTGTGTGTCTGTGCATGTGTGTTGTCGTCCGGAGGAGGGTTATGTGTGTTTGTGTGCGCGATGTCGTCTGGAGGAGGGTTATGTGTGTGTGTGTGGACGTGTGCGCGAGGACGAGGGCAATGTGTGTGTGTGTCTGTGAAAAGAGCAGAATGTGACAAGCGAGGAGATCTCCTCGCCAGTTCTTGGGAGTTTTTGCTCAATAAAATAGTTAGTTGTCTGTATTTTCAAGTTATTGTCTGTGTTTACATTCATCCACTGGCAGCTAAACTCCACGCCTTACACTATCGAGCGTGCATGCACTGTGACTACTTCAGACTTCTTGTCTGTCGCATAAGGCAGTCAGTGTCGACCAATCGCAACAGACTGTCATCGGTCCAATCAGCGCAGATTAGCTTCGCGCTAAGGAGGGGTTTGGAAACAAATTAATGACTGGATGATTCATATGGGAGTCGCTGGGATAATTAGGTAAAAATAAATGCAGATTATAAGACCATGAACCACCTATTTCACAAAGAGGCATCATTTACATTATATTAGGACATACATGTCTTGATACCCAGGTTTTCCTTTAAAGCACAACAGCTAAGTTTTTTTTAATAGCTTAATTAGCTATTTAATAGTTTTATTATTAAATAGTTTTATTGGTTTAATTTGGGAAGAACAATCACTAAAAAGGTCAGTATTCATGATTATATTTCTATGTACCAGTACTGTGTATATTTTCTCTCAGCGCCTTTGGTTGAAGAATGCTTGAATATTTGTAATGTGTGTAAATTCCAGAACGTACTCAATTCCCCAAATGTGATCGCCTCGGTGGAAAATGACCAGGTCACCGTTAGAGTTGAGAGCCAGACCAGAGACCTGTCCGAGCTGCAGATCCGCCTCAGGCCAGTCTGACACCTCCACCAGATGGGCACCTGCACACAAACAAACACACACAATGGAACTGTCAATTAGATGTGGAAGACCTACATGAACAAAGTCATTTTACAGTTTTTTTTTTTTTGCGACATGTTTTGACATGTTTTCGGTTTCTTTACTGGACTTTGAACTGTTATTGTCCATGGAGTATGAGAGAACTTGAATTTAAAATATTAAAGGAGATGAATTGAGATCTTTTGGATTAGCTAATCCTTTAATAGTTTTTACACTTGATTTACATAATCTGTATGCACAAGTCTGATCTTCTGATCATATTTCAGATTTTTATTCTTTATGTATTGAAGATGTGAGTTTCACAAAATCAGTGAAGTTATCACCTCATTAGTAACAAATATAAATACATATTTTAGTAATAAAGCCATCTTATTTACACAGTTTACGGGGCAAAGCTTGAATGCTACTGAATATTTGTTTGTGTGTTTAATTTGTTATGGTCCAGCTATTATTATTATCATTATCATATAATGGGTCTAATAATTTAGAGGGGCTAAAAATTCTGACTTCAACTGTGTGTTTTCTTGACATTAATTATTATGTCTCTTTCTTTGAGGCTAACTCTGCCTTGCACCTGTGGCTAATCCAGCATTGTCAGCTTTATAATGGGAAGCTGAATGTGCGTGTGGCTCTTTGTTTTCAAACAAAGCTGAGAATCTCTATGTCTCTTGCTGTCCTGATGAGGGTCTGAGTGTCTTGTGCAGCTGCCGCTGAGGAGCCATGCCAGTGTTGTTGGTGCTTGTTTTCATTCTATGTTGATCGATGTTATGTTAAGATTGAGTTAAAGTAAGTAATTTCATTTTCTTTTAGGCTTAGTCTCTTTATTAATCTGGGGTCGCCACAGCGGAAAGAAGTTTTATAAGTTTTATATATATATATATATACACATTTAAAGAGTTCAAATGCCAAAACCTCTGAAATTTTCTTCTAAAATGAGCATTTTTTTTCAAGCTCCTATGTGTATGCTCAGTAAATACACTCTTAGGGCAAAAAATAGGGTCTTTGCATTGCCTTTAAAGTGAAATAACAGAACAAAAACATTGAAGGCTGAGTATAGTTCTGTGTCTCGCACCATTTGAATCACATCCAAAATCATTAGCTTAAATTGGAGCTAACAACTTAAACCGAAAGCCCCGCTGCTTTACAAAACAAATAACTTTATATATGGAACACACACAATATTTTACACAACTACGAGCAAACTTTTTAACACATTTGTTATAATTATTTTACCAATGATGCAGCATGGGGAAATCCCCAAATTTGCAGTAACAACAGGACTGGTCTGCAGAAGTGCTTCTCCAAAAGCATAGATTTGCTCTTGACTTTGTAGGGGACAAACATCCCTGGAGCACATGCATTGAACAGCACAAATCTGCGCTTTTAAAAACATTATTAAAGTTCCTCATAATAAAAAATAAACACTTAATAATACAAATAATACATGTCCCATGCTGCAGCAAGTCAATTTGCATGACTTTACTGCAGTCGATCTTTGAGGAGGCATTTATGTAGAGAAAACTTAGAGAGGTGCGTGACACAAATAACCTGTTTTATCCAGAATATTGTTTTTCATAATCATGAAGGCCAAAATCAAATGTATATTTTTTGGTTAATAGTATTACGTTAAAATCATAGCGAACTTGACTTTGTGCATGCGTAGGTTACAAAGGTTGATGGAGCATTATTTTATTTTGAGGTCGATTAAATTATTGGTAGGGACATTTTAGTAACTGGTGGATATTGGTGGGGCCAATTGTATTCCCTTGGGCTTCTATGCTATTCATCTGCTTCGCAAGCGCCATGCACCTCTTCCTCTAGCTCTGCACCAAGTGGACTGATTTTTACCAATGATGACGCGATGCACTAAAGTAAACATTTTAAGCAGACCGGTGTAATCATACGCTTCAGGGAACAGCCAATGTTATCAAAACACACGAGTCTCAGTGTTATCATTCGTGTTAAAGGATTAAAAGTGTGTTCATTTTATTCTTTTATTATCCAGTGGTTTTTCCGTGTACCACTAGAGAGAAGCCTGCGTACCACTAGTGGTACTTGTACCGCAGTTTGAGAACCCCTGGACTCGTGCATTAGTACATTAATTTAGAAGCAACTAAACTGTGTACAGTGTGCGAGCACTCAAACAATATAGCCCAATTCACAAATGGCATGCAACCTTATTACATTTAAATTTAGTCTTTTAGAAGACACTTTTGTCCAAAGTGACATACAATTGAGGAGGTATTCAGTAACTCAACACCAAATACACAAAAAAAAGTGCTATACAAAGCAACTGTTGTTGCTCAGAGAATTAAGTGCTAAAGTGAGGAGGTTTTTTTTAATAGAGAGAATAGTGTTTCTATAATAGTGAATAGAATAGTGGTTTGTCAAGCCCACTTACCTGTGCAAGGCACACTCAGAATTGAACAATGTTTTGAGTAGTGGTGGGCCGTTATGGCCATTAAAGTGCTGCATTAATGCGAGACTTTTATAGGGTGATAAAAAAATATCGCAGTTAATCTATTCTCAAAGTTGAAATGACATCTGGGTCTATTCTACACAAGCTATGATGACTTTCACTTTGAGATTTTAGCGCGGATGTATACCTGGCCGAATTGCACTGTAGGTGGCGAGAACGAGTCTTCGAACTGGTGTGTATCCCGACTGTGAAATTACTACATCAAAGTGATGTGCTAACATGGATGCAGTTCACTAGAGTGAAATGAATGACGTTGAACGAAAGTCAAACCGGTGAGCCGTCTGAAAAAAAAAGTGCCTTTCTGAATCAAATCAGCAGGATTCCCTTCTGTGTCTTTCCCTTACTTCGAAGACACTACTGACTACGTTTACATGGACATCAGTAATCTACTTATTTGCCTTAATTGACAGTGATATAATTAAGGTGTTTACGTAAAGTGCTTTCATATAACAGTTTCCTGTAATTTTGGATGACTTTAACTGCAGTTCGGCAGTTTTACATTGACTCATGAATATTTCATTCATGCCCCTGTGACAAACTAGGGTATAAGATGTAAGTGGAGGACTGGTGGGAGTGTTTTGGAATTTAATAACGCATACCAAATGGAAGGAAAAAACTTCAGCAATTCTCAATGTGTGTGTGTGTGTGTGTGTGTGTGTGTGTGTGCGCGGTCTTTTACTGAAGGCTGTGTGTGTGTGGATTTTGTCGGAAAATATGGCGAAAAGTCCTACATGACGGTAATCGTTTGATCGCGGTGTTTACATCAATAATGCCACTAATATATGCATATTCCACATCTTAATTTAATTTCTGTTTAATTCAGTCATGACTTTAGTCGGATTAAGGTGATCAAAACTGAGCTTATGTAGGCCTACAGTTCAAAATTCATGTTTAACGGAATAAACAGTTAGTAAACACAAGTTTGTCTTATTGAACATAATTTATTTCCATCACCAGTTTTCATAGTAGAGTAGTTTCTCAAGCATTTTGTGATGCATTTTGGAAACAGGAGATGAGCCCCTGGTCTAATGCGCCACCTGGCTTGAGAAACCTGTTCTCAAAGTCTTACTTTTAGTCATTTTTTAGGTAGCAAACATATTCAGAATGCCTTCGGCAGAATTCAAATGAGCCATTTTAATCTAGATTAATTCCAAGATTACAGTGAGATTAATCTAGATTAAAAAATAATCTATGCTAACATATAGTTTTGAGGTTGTCATCTGGTGGGGAACAGTCTTTAAAATTTAAAAACATATCAATCCATGTGGTCAAAGTAACTGCCTGCAAAGCACTGGGGAAAGCTACAAAAATCCACTCCATAGCAGACTCCCAAGAACCCAATAATCTCCCTGTTCTTAAAACATAGAAGCTTTGAACAAACTACAGTTTGTTGCCCAGACAGAGCAACAGTAAATGTGACCACACCTTTACAGTTCTGAAAACCTTTGAAATTGAATAAGCTCTCACGAAACAAGAATTTCAGTAAATATAATGTGAAAAAGTAAGAGCTGAATACTCTGAGCATGTACCTTTATCATAAGGGGAAACCAAATATGTGTGCTGATGGTTCATCTAGCCTGCAGAGGTGTTTTTTTACCAGCTAGATGAAAGCAAAGCATGTTGAAATCTATTCTCATGTTTCCCGCTCAGACATTAGAGAATCAGTAATACCACATGCTCAAACACTGCACACTTAGCAAACACTCAGCACAACCATGAGTATAAACGATAGCAGTGAGATGGATGGAGGCAGGCTTCAAATGGAGAACAAATGGATATGTGAGAGACCAAGTCACGTCTTAGCTGACACTGCGGCCCATGTGGTGAAAGCTCACTGTCCACACAACACAAGTGGAGACACTTGATACATTGACGTCCTTGCTTTTAGTCGGCGTAAACAAATGAGGCCGAAACCCACCTTGTTGGTCCCTTTGAGCCGCCCCTGTGGTCGGCAGTCTGGCGGGAACAGTCCTGCTCCTCCAGGGGCTGACAGTGGACTCTAATTGGTGAAACTTGTGCACTCTGTCTCTCGCCAGAATTGCATCTTCGTTTGTTTTGTAGCCTAAACGTGGCCGGCCCAGGTCTTTTTTCTGCATTATGCTATCAATCTCTGCCAGCAGAAGAGTCTGGGCTCGAGCCGCCTCTGAAGGTTTGTACTTATGTATGCGGACATGGTCCTCTCTCTCCCCCAGCAGTTTAGAAAGAAGGGAATAGAGGTCACCTGCACAGGAAGAAACAGAGGAGGAAAAGCGGAAAGACAAAAGAGGAATGGTGGTGTGAATAGAAAAGTGAGAAAGTCATTCGAGTGGAGAAGGGGAGGTTGTGCTGGTGGAGTATTGAACATAATCAATGGGGTGGGTAAACATCGTCATACTTTTGTCAGTCCTTTACAACTTGTCCAATCAGATTGTTTGACATCCCGCACACCCAATAAGATCTTATGTAAAAACGACATTATTGTGCAACTTCAAAGGCCTTTTATGTATATAGTACATCTATTAAAGGGCACCTAGGTTACCCCTTTTTTCAGATTTAATATAAGTCTTTTGCGTCTCTAGAATGTGTATATAAAGTTTCAGCTCAAAACACCCATCAGATTTTTCATTATACCTTTTACAAGATGCTGTTTTATACTGATTTCCAGCAGGGGGTGGTCTTGTCGTACTGCGCTTTTAAGCCGAGTTCTGCCCGCCTACTGTTTCTATGTACCTTCCCGTGTGCTTTAATCTCCTCCCTCGGCTGCGTCAGACAACAGAGAGACTTAAAGGAAGAAGGTCTCACATAGCGTTTGTGAGAAATACTACAGTAAGAACTAATCATTACTAATCAGAATTTGTTGTGAAGTTGCATTGATGAGTCACACACACACACACACACACAGAGGTACACACGCACACCGCAGCTGACACACACACACACAGACAGGCAGACAGACAGAGCGCGCTTAGCACTGTTTTTGCACTCAAGTGTGACAGGATACAGGCTAACCTCCGCTGCTGTGTGGATATCTGTTATGCTAATGTACAAAATAAACCTGATTTAAACCGGATTGAAGCGTCTTCTTTTATAATTGTTCTGACACGCGGCTGTGCTGATGAAGTAAAGCTGAAGTAAATCGCTGTAATTAATTACACACGTGCTCTGTTTTAAAACATTTTAAACATGTGAAACTTACTCTTAATCACATTTGATGATGATTGCTGATCCTAGCGAACAGAACAGACCTTTGATTCCCGGTTGCTTTGCGTATGTCTGCCTGGTCTTGTTGACATATACACGTGACTACCGGAACATGTTAATTCGCGCAGCTGTCAATCAATTCGGTGGGCGGGGGGGACCGCACTCCTATGTAAAGTTGCGGTTGACATGAAAACCGCTCCAATTTGTCCACCGTTTTTATGTTGTTAAATTGAAAAAAAAAAGACTGGGTGTGTTTATATCACCCCAATATGATGGTCTATACACAATATATACACATATGTTTGTCCAAATAGCTTGAAAAGTAGATTTTTTCACATCTTATAACACCTTATGGCTGGTTTTAAAGAGCCCCTACTTTGCATTAAAAAGGGTCATATTTTGGTTTTGGGGGTCTCCAAAAACATTCTGATATGCGTGCACGGTCAAAAAACATTGTCTTATAATATGCATTTATCTTTACCTAATTATCCCACATGATTCGTTCAATGATTCATTTGTTCCCAAACCCATCCTTAGTGCGAAGCTAATCTGCAGTGATTGGTCCGATGACCCAGTTTGTTGTGATTGGTCGACTGCGTTCAGTGCGAGACAGAAAGAAATGCCTACTACGGCTACAGTATGAGGTAACAGAAAGTATGTGAGAGCCCAATGCAGGAATGCAATAAAGCAATGCAGTTGAACACCAGCATATACTCTACTCCTAACCCCAACCCCAAGTAATAACAACGACACACATTCAATATTAATCCACACTGTGGCAAAAGTTGAACTATTTTGAAAATTGACCGCGTGTGTGACGAACAGTTGATGGTAGCCATAGCAACAAACAGCAGAGGATCACTAGTTCAGAAACGCACTTAAAATTGTTAAATGAAGAAGCACGCGTTATGTTTTTTTGATGTTTTGGACGCGATATGTGAACAGCCTCATACAGATTTAATCTGAGAGATACAGTACAAGCACTGATCTAAAATCGATACGTGATCGATTTTACCGCGTCATCTTCGCGTCATAATCAGTCCTGTGATTCCCCGCACCTCTGCTAGAGTCTGAAGTGAAAGGGCGTTCACATTTTACCAGAACTGGAACTACATATTTGGTGATGTACCGTGTTGAAGTTGATGCGATCAAACTAAATATACGAACCCAACTCGATTCATTTATTCGACTCTGAGTCAACAATATCACTAAAGAATCAATAGTTTTTAACACAGTGCACCTTTAGATTTAAACCTTAGCCGGATGTTTTTATTCACTTAGAGCTGTGTTACACACTACATCGAAGCTCATTTTCAAAAACCCATAATAGGGGCTCTTTAAGTTCTTAAATCCTTACTAGCATCATAAACCGCAATTGCTGTGGACATCATCAAGACTGAAAAAACAGAATTGGCTGTGGTATGGTATGTCAATTTCTGACTGTCAGGGGCTCACATCGAGAAAAGGGTACAATACTATTGACCTTATTCTGCAGTGCGGAAGAGCGCAAACTTTTTTTGGGATGTTATAGAACTTCTGATTCAGTTCCCTATGGAAGAAATGACTATAAATAATAAACGGAATTGGTCAAACTACTTGCTCTACAAACAAGTGTGTTCATGACTATACAAACAAAGCAGAATAATATAATAAAACAAAATATTTGTTTTCAAAGTCAAGAAGCATAACAAGCTGCTAAGATCTAAAAATAAATGAAAGTGAATGAGCCTGTAAGTCTCAAGCCTAAAATATTCAAATGGTGTCGCCTGCTCGTTTGTGAAGAATAAGGTTGATAGACTCATGTAATAAAAACAAATACAATTGAACTTGGCATAGAATTTGAAATGTATTATCTAAAATATATTCTTCCTATTTTTATATGTAAGTAATAGTGCTTGTTATAAACAATGTATGATGTACAGCATTTGCCCTTCGTTATTTAGTAAAAATTAATTTGCCTTTATAATCTTTTATGAAAGAATTTCCTCCCCCATCGCAACAACTTTTCTTGTCTTCTGGTCTCATGGAATGTATTTGGGTTGGAGCTATCAGTGTGTGCCTTGCTTTTGTCCATTCACCAATCTTCCTCCATTTTGGTAGCAACGCCCATTCTTCAACAACCCAATCAATTCTCAAAAAAAAAAAAAAAAAAAACACCGTCCTACATTTTTTCTCACTTCAGGAACTTTTTAATTGGATGTACATCATTACATCCTAACTTCTGATTCATGTTAACTTTCAGGAAGAATGGAATAAAATTCATACAATTACCTCAAAAAAGCAACAAATAGGTCAAAATAGATCTGCCGATGTTGCCAGAATCATTTTGAATGAAGAAAATATTGAACTTTTCTAAGTGGCACCAAACTTTTAGAAGGAAGAATGGGGACTCTACTACCTAAAAGATCTGTACTCTTGGATTGATATCATGTGAAGTGTTTGGATTCAACCATTGATTATCTTTCCCAAGGCTGTTGAAATATTCCATCAACCATCACAAACCACTGACTGTCCAAACTTCTGAAAAGTACAGACTCTCTGCAGTAGGTCTTATGTGACGTATTGGGATTTTTACTTTTCGAACAGTCAAACGTTACTTGATGCTGCAAACTCGTAACAGTACATCAGAAAAATCCAGCCGCTGTATGATTGCTATTAGTTAATATCCAATGTACCAAAGTTTCCCTTAAATTGGCTTTGTAATCATAAGCTAAGTCCTTTAAACAATGGTTTGGTGGCAGTATGTTTTTTAATGCACGGGTACAAGTGGCTTTACTCATGATGCATAACACACCCCAACACAACTCTCACTTTTCAGTGAGTTTATCTCCCTGATTGGTCCACTTCAATTAGATTGACAGATCAGATTGCTCACCCACACACTTCTCACAAATTCAAGCCGACAGCTCCTTTGACATGTTTAAAAATGATCAGGAGCTTGTGAGACTTGTAAGTTCCTCTCACATGGCACGACCAAAGGAGCATCAAGTACTACTACTTCCAATAGGGAAAAAAATAGCATACAAGCTCATATGACAGCAAAAAAATACACGCCTTAAAGATCACAAAAAGAATCACAACATTAGAATGTACTCAATTCACAGTTCACAGTTTTTTAAGGGGGGATTTGATTATAACACTAGCACATTGTGTCTCATTTCGCTAAAGGACAATGTGTCAGTTTTAGCGTGGATAGTGAGAACATCCATATTCTCTACTTCATTCCGGCGTTGAGATTCTTTTGTCGTGACCTGCATCTAAACCTTCCAGTCACTCCAAACGACATGTGCATCATCACTATGAAACAGTCCTTATGGCAATGGTCCTGCCTTTTATTCCCCCAGGGAATTTCCCAGGACTGACCCTGACCATTTTACTAGGGTGATTGGTCTTGGGATGTATTTGTGCACACACAGAAGACACTCTAGATCTTCTACGACAGGGGTCACCAATCTCGTTCCTGGAGGTCTGGTGCCCTGCAGGGTTTGGCTCCAACTTGCCTCAATACACTTGCCTGGGTGTTTCAAGTATACCTAGTAAGACCTTGATTAGCTTGTTCAGGCGTGTTTGATAAGGGTTGGAGCTAAAATCTGCAGGACACCGGACCTCCAGGAACAAGTTTGGTGATCCCTGTTCTACGAGATCAACACTCTGGGCCCTATCATACACTACATAATAAGACGCAAAACGTGTTTGGCACAATTTCTAGCTGTTTTCAGATTAGCACAACACTAGTTTTTACATTTGGGTCACGTTGTTTAAATAGCAAATCCATTTGCGCCACTTTGTTGACTTATGGGCGTGCTGGTCTAAAAAGGAGGTGTGTTAAGGCGCATTGCTGGCATGTTGCTATTTTGAGGAACTAAAATAGGCCGTGCCATTGACCGACCAAAATCTGGTCTTAGGGTTTCACATTGCTTAATACACAAACCAAATTAAATATGTAGGCTAATGAATGCCTTCAGTGAAGTGAGTTTACTCCATGAGAGTAAAGAAGAGTAAAAGTAAAGAGAAAGTAAAGAGGCCAAATGGAGGAGGCTC